GTTTAATCCTGAGCGGATGGTGTCAAATTTGCAAATGAACTGAAGCTCAGCAGTTTCTCTTTGAAGTCTGGTCCTGAAGTCTTTTTGCTGCAGGGTGGCTACCTTTAAATCTGCTATTGTGGGTCCAGGGAGGTTGAAGTGTTCTCCTTCAGGTTTTTGTATATTGCCATTCCTAATATCTGATTTGTGTCCATTTATCCTTTTACGTAGGGACTGTCCAGTTTGGCCGATGTACATAGTAGAGGGGCATTGTTGGCACATGATGGCGTATATTACATGAGTGGATGTGCAGGTGAATGAACCGGTGATGGTGTGGCTGATCTGGTTAGATCCTGTGATGGTGTCGCTGGTGTAGATATGTGGGCAGAGTTGGCATCCAGGTTTGTTGCATGGATTGGTTCCTGAGTTAGAGTTACTATGGTGCAGTGTGTAGTTGCTGGTGAGAATATGCTTCAGGTTGGTGGGTTGTCTGTGGGCGAGGACTGGCCTGCCTCCCAAAACCTGTGAAAGTGAGGGATCGTTGTCCAGGATGGGTTGTAGATCACTGATGATGCGGTGGACAGGTTTTAGCTGAGGACTGTACGTGATGGCCAGTGGAGTTCTGTTGGTTTCTTTCTTGGGCTTGTCTTTCTTGGGCAATGCCATCCACAGCTTCAGAAACAACCCTGACATTATAATCAAAGAGGCTGATAAAGGAGGTGCTGTTGTCATCATGAACAGGTCTGACTACCAAAAGGAGGCTGCCAGACAACTCTCCAATATCAAATTCTACAGACCACTTTCCTCAGATCTCACTGAGGAATACACTACGAAACTGCACCATCTACTCAGGACACTCCCTACACTAACACAGGAACAAATCAACATACCCTTAAAGCCCCGACTGGGGTTGTTCTATCTACTACCCAAGATCCACAGACCCAGAAATCCTGGACCCCCCATCATCTCGGGCATTTGCACTCTCACTGAAGGACTGTCCGGATATGCGGACTCTCTACTCAGACCCTATGCCACCAGCACTGCCAGCTATCTCTGTGACACCACTAATTTCCTGAGAAAACTACGATACCCACACGAGGAAATAAGGAAACAGATCAACAAAGCTAGACATGTATCCAGAAGCCTCCTGCTGCAAGACAAGCCCAAGAAAGAAACCAACAGAACTCCAATGGCCATCACGTACAGTCCTCAGCTAAAACCTGTCCACCGCATCATCAGTGATCTACAACCCATCCTGGACAACGATCCCTCACTTTCACAGGTTTTGGGAGGCAGGCCAGTCTTTGCCCACAGACAACCCACCAACCTGAAGCATATTCTCACCAGCAACTACACACCGCACCATAGTAACTCTAACTCAGGAACCAATCCATGCAACAAACCAGGATGCCAACTCTGCCCACATATCTACACCAGCGACACCATCACAGGATCTAACCAGATCAGCCACACCATCACCGGTTCATTCACCTGCACGTCCACTCATGTAATATACGCCATCATGTGCCAACAATGCCCCTCTGCTATGTACATCAGCCAAACTGGACAGTCCCTACGTAAAAGGATAAATGGACACAAATCAGATATTAGGAATGGCAATATACAAAAATCTGAAGGAGAACACTTCAACCTCTCTGGACCCACAATAGCAGATTTAAAGGTAGCCACCCTGCAGCAAAAAGACTTCAGGACCAGACTTCAAAGAGAAACTGCTGAGCTTCAGGTTTCAGAGTAACAGCCGTGTTAGTCTGTATTCGCAAAAAGAAAAGGAGTACTTGTGGCACCTTAGAGACTAACCAATTTATTTGAGCATGAGCTTTCGTGAGCTACAGCTCACTTCATCGGATGCATACCGTGGAAACTGCAGCAGACTTTATATATACACAGAGAATATGAAACAATACCTCCTCCCACCCCACTGTCCTGCTGGTAATAGCTTATCTAAAGTGATCATCAGGTGGGCCATTTCCAGCACAAATCCAGGTTTTCTCACCCTCCACCCCCCCCACACAAATTCACTCTCCTGCTGGTGCTAGCCCATCCAAAGTGACAACTCTTTACATAATCAAGTCGGGCTATTTCCTGCACAAATCCAGGTTTTCTCACATCTCCCCCACCCCCATACACACACAAACTCACTCTCCTGCTGGCAATAGCTCATCCAAACTGATCACTCTCCAAGTTTAAATCCAAGTTAAACCAGAACATCTGGGGGGGGGGGTAGGAAAAAACAAGAGGAAACAGGCTACCTTGCATAATGACTTAGCCACTCCCAGTCTCTATTTAAGCCTAAATTAATAGTATCCAATTTGCAAATGAATTCCAATTCAGCAGTTTCTCGCTGGAGTCTGGATTTGAAGTTTTTTTGTTTTAAGATAGCGACCTTCATGTCTGTGATTGCGTGACCAGACAGATTGAAGTGTTCTCCGACTGGTTTATGAATGTTATCATTCTTGACATCTGATTTGTGTCCATTTATTCTTTTACGTAGAGACTGTCCAGTTTGACCAATGTACATGGCAGAGGGGCATTGCTGGCACATGATGGCATATATCACATTGGTGGATGTGCAGGTGAACGAGCCTCTGATAGTGTGGCTGATGTTATTAGGCCCTGTGATGGTGTCCCCTGAATAGATATGTGGGCACAATTGGCAACGGGCTTTGTTGCAAGGATAAGTTCCTGGGTTAGTGGTTCTGTTGTGTGGTATGTGGTTGTTGGTGAGTATTTGCTTCAGGTTGCGGGGCTGTCTGTAGGCAAGGACTGGCCTGTCTCCCAAGACTTGTGAGAGTGTTGGGTCATCCTTTAGGATAGGTTGTAGATCCTTAATAATGCGTTGGAGGGGTTTTAGTTGGGGGCTGAAAGTGACCGCTAGTGGCGTTCTGTTATTTTCTTTGTTAGGCCTGTCCTGTAGCCTGTTTCCTCTTGTTTTTTCCTACCCCCCCCCCCCCAGATGTTCTGGTTTAACTTGGATTTAAACTTGGAGAGTGATCAGTTTGGATGAGCTATTACCAGCAGGAGAGTGAGTTTGTGTGTGTATGGGGGTGGGGGGGATGTGAGAAAACCTGGATTTGTGCAGGAAATAGCCCGACTTGATTATGTAAAGAGTTGTCACTTTGGATGGGCTAGCACCAGCAGGAGAGTGAATTTGTGGGAGAGGGGGGGTGGAGGGTGAGAAAACCTGGATTTGTGCTGGAAATGGCCCACCTGATGATCACTTTAGATAAGCTATTACCAGCAGGACAGTGGGGTGGGAGGAGGTATTGTTTCATATTCTCTGTGTATATATAAAGTCTGCTGCAGTTTCCACGGTATGCATCCGATGAAGTGAGCTGTAGCTCACGAAAGCTCATGCTCAAATAAATTGGTTAGTCTCTAAGGTGCCACAAGTACTCCTTTTCTTTTTGCTGAGCTTCAGTTCATTTGCAAATTTGACACCATCCGCTCAGGATTAAACAAAGAACTGCGAATGGCTAGCCAACTACAAAAGCAGTTTCTCCTCCCTTGGTGTTCACACCTCAACTGCTAGAAGAGGGCCTCATCCTCCCTGATTGAACTAACCTCGTTATCCCTAGCCTGATTCTTGCTTGCATATTTATACCTGCCTCTGGAAATTTCCACTACATGCATCCGACAAAGTGGGTATTCACCCACAAAAGCTTATGCTCCAATACGTCTGTTAGTCTATAAGGTGCCACAGGACTCTTTGCCACTTTTACAGATCCAGACGAACACGGCTACCCCTCTGATACTCATTCGACAGTAGTCCAGAGCGATTCAACACAACAAAGTTTAATTCAATTCAGTGCAACACCCCACAAGTAGAATTCAATACAATGCAATTCATAGGGTGTCAGTAAGTCTGTATAGATAGATTTGATACACCATGGGACAGACAAAAAGCATCTGAAACTTATTACAGTGCTTTTAAAAGTAAAAATAAGTGGTGGGGGAAGATCTCAAGCCCTTTTTTGTGAAGTAAATTGTATCCAAACCAAATGTCAGCTTGCTTTCTGAAACACACAAGATATAATCCCCCGATTAAAGGGTTTTAATGGAAATGCCAAGTCAATTTTACCCACAAAAGTATTACCTCACTGTCTTAACAATTTGGCTCTGATCCTGCAAAGATGTGTGCTTACCCTCAAATGTATGGGGTTATGTACATGCATAATTTTACAATGAGCAGCACTGAGTCTACCCTGATTTTTAATCATTTCATTAGGAATGTTTTCTTCAGTTTTTTTAATTGAAGTAGGGTAGTTTTCTCTGCATGACAATATTTTCTATAACCAGTTTTCACAGCAACATAAAATTATTCAAGAGAATCAAGAGAGACTAGTTGTCTATTTTTAAACATTCTAAAGCAAAGATAAAAAGACACTATTTGAAATTTGCGGAGGGACTATTTGACATCTACAGTTTACTTCTAAGCTCACCTAAATGTGCTGTGTTGTTACTCTTTTGCTGAATATATATTTTTAAAACTACTATTTTGTATTGCACCAAAACATGCACAAAAACATTAAAAATCAAATCTGAGTGTGCAGCTAGATGCAGACATAATGGATACACTTGCAGAAATGGGACCACATTTCTGACAGCAGATAATGTAACTGTGGGTGCATAAAATTCTCAGGCAAAGGTTCCCCCTAAAAACTATGGTACTGCATTATCAGGTTATAGATCTTAAAAAAGCTTGATGGAGTGGTAGTTTAAACCTCTCCGTTTTGGTAGCTGATTGAAAGTAAAATAATCTCAGTCATTATTGTATAGCAACATTTTAATTTTGATGGATAAAAACGCAAATTAACGCGCTCATATTAAAACATATGAATGGAAAGTCGATGTTATATAAAAAATTGAGAATAAAAATATTACACTGTGGCCCGTACGGGGATCGAACCCGCGACCTTGGCGTTATTAGCACCACGCTCTAACCAACTGAGCTAACCGGCCGCTTCTTGTTAAGATGACTGCACTGGTCTTCATAAGAATAACAGAGGGACTACTGTTGTCGTTTCTCCACCCTTCCTTTGTTGTCGTCGTTCTGAACGTTGCCTGTTCCCAAGACAAGTATTCAGTTTCCACCCAGACGGCGAGTTCCCAGGATCCATCCCTTGTAGGTTCAAGGGGCATGTTTGAGCCAGCGATTGAACAAGCCCGTTCAAAGGGTTTAGAATGGGGGCCATGAATATGCAGGAGCAGTGACGCTAAGGTACAAACAGCCACCGGCCTCATTCACTGCAGGCTGGATTCATAGCCAGTAATTTATATCCCCCCCCCCCAATAGCTTTTTAAAAGTGACTCCAGTTTTAATTTCATGAAATCAAAATATTTATTTTGCCATTTATTTTAATATTATTTATGTTTAATTCCCACATATTTTACATACTGCTTTTTAAACAAATATTGCATTGGTAAAATAGGAGTCACGTGTATTATTTTCGTTCTATAACGTTTGGGTTTATTGTAAATGATGTATTTATTTTACATTAAAATAAACTTGTATTATTTATAGATGGTCAGTCCAGCAGCAAATCTTGCCGTTTTCAGATGAGATTGCTACGTAAGCCATCAAACAAGAAAAAGAACCGCCAACAGGGGGAGTGCAAGTTAGTAAACCAGTAATTCTGTTTAACGTACATGCATGAAATCCACTAGTTGTTCTGCCTAATGTTATAGGTTCTCTGCAAAAGCTGATGAACTTCTAACTGGATTGTAGCCACACCACTTTTACCCCTAGTTGTTTCACAGTGAATGACAAGTTGTAAGGATCAACTGTAGGCTTAACATACCTATCTAAATATGACTCTGAAAAGAGAAGGTAATACTCACATTAGGTCTAAGAATAACAGCCGTGTTAGTCTGTATTCGCAAAAAGAAAGGGAGTACTTGTGGCACCTTAGAGACTAACCAATTTATTTGAGCATAAGCTTTCCTGAGCTACAGCTCACTTCATCGGATGCAAGTGAGCTGTAGCTCACGAAAGCTTATGCTCAAATAAATTGGTTATTCTCTAAGGTGCCACAAGTACTCCTTTTCTTTTTACATTAGGTCTAATCACTGTTGTTATATTTAATTTATGGAGTAAATATGCACCTATCTGTACAGTATTATACACTTAATATGCTACTAAAATTGTTCATTAAGCAGAAATTTTATGTGGCTGTAGCAACAATTCATAGATTCATAGGACTGGGAGGGACCCCGAGAGGTCTTCTAGTCCAGTCCCCTGTGCTCAAGGCAGAACGAAGTATCTGACCATTCCTGACAAGTGTTTGTCTAACCTGCTCTTAAAGACCTCCAATGACAGAGATTCCACAACCTCCTGAGGCAATTTATTCCAGTGCTTAACTACCTTGACAGTTAGTTTTTCCTAATGTCCAACCTAAACCTCCCTTGCTCCTTAATTCTTAGAGGTGAAGGAGTAGCATTTTTCTCCCTCCTCCTTTTAACAACCTTTTATGTACTTGAAAACTATCATGTCCCCCCTCAGTCTTCTCTTCTTCAGCCTAATCAAACTCAATGCTTTTGATCTTTCCTCATAGGTCATGTTTTCTACACCTTTAATCATTTTTGTTGCTCTTCTCTGGACTTTCCCCAATCTGTCGACCCTAATTGAACTGGCCTCATTAGCACTACAAAAAGTAATTTTCCCTCTGTTGATATTCACCCCTTCTTATCAGCTGTTGGGAATGGGCCACATCCACCCTGATTGAATTGGCCTTGTTAGCACTGACCCCCTCACTTGGTAAGGCAACTTCCATCTTTTCATTTGCTGTACATTTATACCTGCCTACTGTATTTTTCACTCAATGCATCTGAAGAAGTGGGTTATAACCCATGAAAGCTTATGCCCAAATAAACTTGTTAGTCTCTAAGGTGCCACGAGGACTCCCCATTAAAAAATATAAGTGTACTCTCTATGCCATTATCTAAATCACTGATGAAGATATTGAACAGAACTGGATGCAGAACTGATCCCTGCAGGATCCCATTTGAGATGCCCTTCCAGCTTGACTGTGAACCACTGATAACTACTCTCTGGGAACAGTTTTCCAACCAGTTATGCACTCACCTTATATTAGCACCATCTAGGTTGTATTTCCCTAGTTTGTTTATGAGGTCATGAGAGACAGTATCAAAACCTTACTAAAATCACGATATACTGTACCACATCTACCACTTCCCCCCTATCCACAATGCTTGTTTCCTTAAAACTTTTAAAACTTACTATTAAAACTTCATATTTCAAATTTGTATGAGACTTTTAAATTCTGATGTGAAAACACAATAGTGATACACTAGTACACTACTGTTAAAAAAATACAAGCCTAAGTCACTACCTTCTACAAGAAAATGTATGAAAGGGCCAAATAATTCTGCAAGTTCGAATATATGTAATTTCAATGGAATTCTTCCAGTAAGCCCCATTTTTCACAAACTGTTTTACAGTTACAGTGGGGGTGAGGGGTGTTTTTTATAATAGTTTATTTCTATAGCTTTGATGATTTAAAATTAAAAATATTTATTTGTACTACCACAGGCAAGCATGGTGCTTTACAAAAACACATAACAAGATGCATTTACAGTCCTGCTCCTGCAATGGGACTACTCAGGCAATTACAAATGTAAGTGTTACAGAGACAAGGTGGGTGAGGTAGTATCTTTTATTTGCCCAACTTCTGGTGGGGAGAGAGGCAAGCACTCTTGCAGCAGTCACTCCAAAGACATAATAGGAGTTTGTGTGAATGCAGGGGCCCAGGTGAATCGTGCAGGATCACAGCCTATTGTAGACACATCAGCCTACAGACAATGCGGGCATGTTGGAACACAGTTCACAACAAAGGCAGCTCAAAGAGTTTCCACTGGTGTAAGAGTACACCAAGCCAGACGATGGTGAGGTCCCAGGCTCTATTACTGCATGGTCACCTAGACTGCGTCGGCCTCAGCAAAGGACTTGACCAGGACTAGTCAACTGGTGGACCATGGGCCAAATCTGGAACACCAGACACTTTTGAAAGGACAGTGAAATCTTGTTCTTTGCTTATTATTGTTGTTATTGTAATATGAAAAAAATGTTCCTCTGGAGTCCACACCTTGACTATTCCTTGACCATGAAATTTGGACCTTGACAAAAAGTAATTCACTGCCGCTGAGCAGCGTGACCTTCCCCTTGCCCTGAGAGAACCCCCCACTGCCAGTCTAACCTCTCCCCCGCCCATACGGAGACTTCTCAGGGGCGGGGCGCCTGCCTGGCCCTCAGAGCTTCGAAACCTGAAACACAAATCCCTGCTGCGCTTGCCCATGTCACGGACCGAGGAGCAAAAGAAGTCTCTGTTGCACGTGCGCAGGCGGAGCCGTGAGGCGTACAAGGTTCTGGTTTGCCCCTGTGCATCCTTTGTCAACGACGGGTGGGGAGACGAGAGAAAGCGAGAAGGTTGCTGCGCCTGCGCAAACGGGGTCGTCAATGGCCCGGCCTAAAAACAAGCTGTACTACGCCTGCGCGACTGTGAAACTGGGTAAAGACGGGAGAGACCGTAATCTCGCGCCAAGAAGGAGACTGTGCTGTGGTTGCGTGCTGGGGGGGGGGGGAGGAGGAAGCTGCGTTGCGCGTGCGCGGCTTTGTGCGGAAGCGGTGCTGACTCGGCCGTGCTCCTGGGCTGGAATCCTGAGCCTGAGCGGTTGCCAGGGTGACGGGACTACAACATGGCGCGCTGACAGTTCTGTCGGGAGGGGTGGGCGCTGCAGAGAAGGCCTCAGCCTTTCCCTCCCCGTCCTCACACCGCTGAGGAGCCGCAGGATGAACAGTAGGGGCGGAGAGGGACGGGTCCCGGTGGCGGTGTGAGGGGAGCGAGCCTCCCCATGGGCTGGGGGAGCGCGGGAGAGGGCCTCCCGCTGTGGGGAGGGTCCCGGCAGGGCGGGTGCTTCTGTGGGGAGCGGGAGGGACAGTTTCTCTGTGGAGAGAGAAGGAAACGCGGAGCGGGAGGCGCTTCCGGGGTGCAGCAGGCAGGATGTGTAAGTGGGAGCGGGATCGCCGTAGGTTGGCAGTGGGTCCTGTTGCAGCGAGCAGACCCTCCTGGGGCAGGGAGAATGGAGATACAGTGTGAGGAGGAGGGTGAGCGGGTGTCTAAGTCTTGCTATGGAAGGGATGCATGAGGGGCTTGTGCCCCATTTCTGTTATGTGTGGGTGGGGCATCCTATGTGGAGGACCAGGCTCCAGTGTCAGATCCATTTGGAACAGAAATGGGCCCTGCTATTGGGTGGAATATGCATGTTGGACTATGGGTTGGTGGGAGGCGGACCAGATCCTACTCTGCAAAGATATATGAGGGAGATAAGTAGCAGGGGGAAGGACCTGCCCTCTTATTACTAATATTAGTAAAGTAGCACCAAAAGACCCCTCTCAACCTCTCGGTTGGTTTTGATGCTGTTGATCATCTTTTCCTTGACTTTTTGCCCCCTCTTCTGGTTTTCCTCCTACCCATCCAGTCATTCCTTCATCAGGTTCTGTCCTTGGCCTTTTGATTGTCTCACTTTACAGGCTGACCCTGGACAATATCTTCTCCTTACATGGTTTCAAATATCAACTGTGTGCTGATGACTTTCAAAACGTTCTCTCTACCACTGACCTGTCTCTTTCTAAACAATCCCATCTAATATCCCAAAGGAAATGTCAGAGAGATACATGCATCCGACAAAGTGGGTATTCACCCACGAAAGCTTATGCTCCAATATGTCTGTTAGTCTATAAGGTGCCACAGGACTCTTTGCCGCTTTTACAGATCCAGACTAACACGGCTACCCCTCTGATCAGAGAGATACATTATCTTCTCAATTTAAACTGAACATGGCCCAAAACAATCTCTTAAACTTTCCTCACACACCTCCTCTTCCCCTTTTTTTTATCACTGTTGGCATCACCACCACCATTCTTTTTATTACTTACACTGAACATGGGTTTTATTTTTAATTTATGCCTTTCTCTTGGCCCACACATCCAGGCCATATCCAAATCCTACAGCTTCTTCCTCCTCAACATTTCCATACTCCATCCTTTCCTTTCCATCTCCACACCCAAATTTCTGGTTGGGTTCCTCACTGTATCCCACCTTGACTACTGCAATATCCTTCTATATCATCTCCCAATTCAAACTGCAGCCACTAAAGTAATCTTCCTTGCTGTCAATTTGATCACATTACTCCCCTCTCTGAATTTCTACACTTGCTCTCCATCCACAGTTATATTTAAACTGTTGATCACTCCCTTCAAGGCTGTATTTAAATCAGCCCCTCACTACTTATCCTCGCTTGTTGAACTTTATGGCATCTCTACCCCACCAGTGTTCCCACCCTCATCTGAAGATTTGTGTGTCTTTCATATGGCCACGTCTGCATTGTTAGACCTCCCTGAATCTGCAAGACTTCTACCCTCTCGCTCTTAGAAACCTACTTCTCCCACACTACCTATAGTGTATTTTGTTGATTTGTATAGGAAATCATTTTGTTTTCCTTCCTTGACTTCTGTCTGCTTTTCTGTCTATCCTGAAATTGTGAAATTCTTGAAACAGGTTTCAGAGTAACAGCCGTGTTAGTCTGTATTCGCAAGAAGAAAAGGAGTACTTGTGGCACCTTAGAGACTAACCAATTTCTTTGAGCATAAGCTTTCGTGAGCTACAGCTCACTTCATCGATGAAGTGAGCTGTAGCTCACGAAAGCTTATGCTCAAATAAATTGGTTAGTTTCTAAGGTGCCACAAGTACTCCTTTTCTTCTTGAAACAGGGACATCCTTTCTTCTATGTCTAAAAAGTGCCTTGTTTGTTATGAAAAAAGAAAAGGAGTACTTGTGGCACCTTAGAGACTAACCAATTTATTTGAGCATGAGCTTTCGTGAGCTACAGCTCACTTCATCAGATCTTCATCACTACATCTGATGAAGGGAGCTGTAGCTCACGAAAGCTCATGCTCAAATAAATTGGTTAGTCTCTAAGGTGCCACAAGTACTCCTTTTCTTTTTGCGAATACAGACTAACACGGCTGTTCCTCTGAAACTTGTTTGTTATGGATACTACTGAAATCAATTCCTAATTAGGGATTAGGCCCTTTCTGTTCTAGATATACCTGTATACACCATTGTGGATAAAAATGATGTTTATTTAAAAATTTAAATCAAATTTTTATTTAAATGGTTGAAGTAAAAAAATCATTTAAAAAACATTTTTAGTTCTTTACTTTCTTTCCATTTTAAAGTCTTAAGTTGCTAATGTGGATGTTTTATACTTGTTTCCTAATTATTAGTAGAATTTCAGGCTTTATAGAGATTTTTTCCTACTGAAAGCTTCACACATAAAATGCGCATCTGTACTGAAAAGTCAAGTGTACATCCTCTAACATTGTTCCTTTGACACCACCATAAACTCAGATAACCAAATAGCCCTGCTGTTTGCAACCAACACCACCTTCCAACGTTATGAACTTTCACAAGTAAAGAAATGCTTTGACCAGGCTATTCTCCTCCATCAAGGCTTTCAGTTTGAAGTCAATGGGATTTGTGCTCCTAAATTGTTTAGGACTATCATCAAAGGGACTTAGGTGCTGCAATGCTCAGCATCTAACTTTCTTGGTCCCTTGCCATTCAGTGGAATCCACAGCCCTGATTTAGGTTCCTAGGCTCTCTATACAATGCATGGGGAGAGTTAAGTGTTTAAGAATGGAATCCACAAAAGCCAGCATGCTGAGCAGAGAGTCACCTAAACTAGCCAGTAGGAAATGCTGAGGAGAATAAGCTCTGGAATGAATGCTGGAATAAGCTCTGCCCCTAAAAGGGATTTAGGTGTCTAAATCAGGACTGGAACTCTCTCTCTCTTTCTTGTTGAAGCTGTTCAACTGTGTATAATTACTTAAATATTCACTGGGCCTAAGAGAGAGAGAATGACTATGTAGCCCAGGGTAGGGCACTCATCTGGGATGTGAGCGACTCAGGTTCCACTTCTCTTGCTCCAATAAATATTTAAGTATTTATACACAGTGGAACAGCTTTGCTAGGAGAGACTGAGAGAAACCTGCCCCAGAATACCCTAGGGCCCAATGATAAGGGCACATTCCTGAGCATTGGGTGACACAAATTCAAATTTCTTCTCCATATTAGACAGAGTAGGGAACTGAGCCTGAGTCTTTCACAACCTGGGCAGTGCCCTTCCCAGAGGGCTACCAACACTCACTAAAATAGTCAGGATACACTGGGATTAGGGACCTGAGGTAGCTGTGCACATGCTCATTGGCAGATTTCTAGGCACCTGTGGGACTTCAACATAAGAAATTTAGGCATCTAAAGATTTTAGGCGCTTTCAGAGTTTGGCAGCAGCTGAATGAAGGTTTTGAAGATCTCAAAGGCACCTAAGTCTAACATTTAGGTACCAAAAGTGTCAGTTAGGTGCCAAAGTCCTTTTGTGGATCTAGGCCTTAGGTGCTTTTGAAAATCCCACTCTTTGATGCCTACATATGGGTTTATTATTGAAAATTTTGGCCTGAATTTTTGATGTAAAAAACTTCATAATGTATTTGTTAATGCACTGAAAAGAAAAGGATAACTTTTCATTAACACTGAAGCATTTTTGTTGTGAAGTGACAATTTTTAGCCACTAAGAGAAAATTTTTAATCAAAATACAATTTTAGTGCCTGATTTTGCAAACACTCATGCTTAAAGTTACACATGTGCATGAGTAGTGCCTTTGATGTAAATGAGACTTTACAGGGGCTTGATCCTGCATCATTCACATCAATGGAAGATTTTTCATTGCTTTGAATGAGAGCAGGATCAAACCTCAAAAGAGTGAAGCTTTGTATCTGCTTCAGTGTTTTCCAGGATCAGGGTCTTTCATATTTGTTTTTGCGTACAGCTCCTTTTTGTAAAATTCGAATGATACCCTAGCATAGTGGCTTTTTTAAATTATAGTTTAGTTAGATTAAAAATGTATCATCCAAGTTGCAATTAGCACACTTTTTTTTTTCCAAATCCTCACCTGATTTAAATCAGTGATAGACAAAAAGTGATTTAAATTACTCCATCCTGGTCCAGTGCTCCAGGCCTATTCTTCTGTGAGAAAAATTCTGTGGTGCGTTATAGCCAGACAAGATGTCATGGGATCAATCAGAAAGCTTTGTTTGGTGGTGGTGGGGTTTTTTTTTTAATGTATTACATGTGCTTTTTAGCCTAGGTATTTTGAGTCTTCATCACATATTGCTGATAAACTGGAAATAAAAAATGAAGATTCTATCTCTAAGGATAGCCTGGTTTGGATTTTTATCATGCCATAAAATCAACTATTTGTATATAAGAACTAGTAATTGACTGTGTAGTATAGAACTATCAAGATTGCCAATTGTTACCATTGAAGAACAGGTAGACCATTTGCTAAACTTTGCTGCAGATGCTTTATATCAGGGGTGGCCAGACTTTTTGGCCAGAGGGCCACATCGGGGTTGTGAAACGGTATGCAGGGCCGGGTAGGGAAGGCTGTGCCTCCGCAAACAGCCTGGTCCCTGCCCCCTATCCGCCCCCTCCCACTTCCCGTCCCCTGAGTGCCCCCCTCAGAAACCCTGACCCATCCAACCCCCCTGCTCCTTGTCCCCTGACCGCCCCCTCCCAGGACCCCACCCCTAATGCCCCCCCCGCTCCCTGTCTGCCCTGACCCCTATCCACACCCCCGCTCCCTGACCGGACCCCCGACCCATCCAACCCTCCCTGGACCCCCGTCCCTAACTGCCCCCCCAGGACCCCATCCCCTATCCAACCCCCCCTGCTCCCTGTCCCCGCCTTTCTCGGGATCCCCCAACCAACTGGGATCCCACCCCCTATCCAACCCCCCCCCCCCTCCGCTCCATGTCTCCTGACTGCCTCTGCCCCATCCAACTGCCCTCTGTCCCCTGACTTCCCCCCGGGACCTCCTGCCCCTTATCCAACCTCCCCCTCCATCTGCCCCCTTACCACGCTGCTCAGAGCAGCAGAACAGGCTTCTTGGAAAGGCTGGGAGGTGGGCAGGCGCAAGTCGCGCTGCCCGCGCAGTGGCGCAGATCAGTGGGGGAGGGACTGGGGGCTGGCTCCCCGGCCAGGAGCTCAAGGGCCGGGCAGGACAGTCCCCCGGGCCGGATGTGGCCCGCGGGCCATAGTTTGCCCACCTCTGCCTTATATGTTTCACAAAGAAACTGGCTCTGACAGTGTGGGGATGCATTTAAAATGTCACCCACTATGCTATCAATTATCTCCGCCGTAGTGACAGTTTATCGTTTTATTTTAAAAAGATTGTTGGGGAATGTTCTTTACAATAGTGAGGTTTGAACATGCTAAATCAATGGTTGTTAAGGATTATAAAATATTAGCAATCAGGCTTCTAAGCAGGATTCTGACACCTAGGCATATTATTCCTGATTTGGTGTTTTTGTGGTGGGTTTTGGTGCCTTCCTATATTGGTTTTTGAGATTCTGTTCCTGACTTGTAAAGTACTCCATGAGCAAGGACTGTTTATATTAATACATAGCATTAGAAAGTGTACTTGGCATTTTATAAACAGGCCTGCGTGTGCCTTGCACTGAAGATCTTACCATCTAAATCAGACAAGAAAATAATGAAAGACAATAGTTCAGGAGAGAGAGAGAGGGAGTGTGTTGGTGATGAAAAGGAAGAATAGATTTCTGGAAGAACTGGGCTTTAAAGAGGGTCTAGTTAGAGAAGTAGTGTTTCAAACATAAGAGCAGCATGAGGGAAGAAAAGGGAGAGTCTTAGACGGAACTTAAAGAGCAAATGATAAGAGTGATAGGAGAGAGTGATGATTTTATCCAAAGTGCCACTGTTAGACTGGAGAAGAGGAAAGGTTGTAAAGGGGAACGTCACAGTAATAAAGATGAGAAGTGAAAGAGAACCTTGGTAATGAGGAAAGGGCAGATTTTGAATATTAATAAGAGAAGAAGCATTAATTGCAAGAGTGGATATGAAGGTTGGCTAGTAGAAAAGAAGAACTGAAGATGACGCCTAGATGTATTACTGCTGGTAGGTATCTGAAATATAAAGATCCACCATCCAGCTTTTGGACGGTAGAAAGAGCTTTCAGTCACTCCTGCCCCTGCAAAGACTCCTGGATGCTTCAAGGAGAAAGGGGTATGTCTCCACTTCCCTACGGCCTGGTCCATACCTAAAACTTAGGTCGATCTAACTACATCACACGGGTGTGAAAGTTCCACACCCCAAGCAACGCAATTATACCAACCTAACCCCCAGTGTAGACAGCACTATGTCGATAGGAGGGCTTCTGCTACCACCTCTTACAGAGGTGGATTAACTATGCTGACAGGAGAAGCTCTTCCTCCAGCATAGTAGCATCTTCACTGAAGCACTACCATGGTGCAGCTGCACTGCTGCAACCGTATCACTGCAGCATTTGAAGTGTAGACCTGTCTGTAGTCAAGCCGACCTAAGTCCCAATGTAGCAGTGGTTCTCAAACTTTTGTATTGGTGACCCCTTTCACACAGCAAGCCTATGAGTTTGACCCCCCTATATATTAATAACACTTTTACAAATGCTGGAGGCGAAGCAGGGTTTGGGGGTGGAGGCTGATAGCTTGTGACTCCTCCCCCCCCAACCATAATAACTTCCCCACAGTTTGAGAACCCCTGCCATATAGACACCATTTGGTAGACAGAAGAATTCTTCTGTTGACCTAGCTACTGCCTCTCAAGAAGGTGGATTCATTGTAGTGATTGGAAAAAACCCTGTTGCTGTAGCATGTGTCTGTACTACAGTGTTGCTGCAGCATAGCTGCAATGCTGCAGACCCTAAGTCTCCTACAGCCTCCTTGATTGCTGTCAGGCATGAGGGTATGAGGGAGGAAAGAGGTCTTTGTTACTTTACCTCTCCCTTGGTCTCTACTTTTTGGATTCTTCTCTGTGAATAACTCCACTGCCTGCTTCCTTTGTTGTTCATAAGCTTTCCCCAGCAGTAACAGTAGCATGAAACTGACATGAATTGGTTTACCTTCAGCTCACTGGTGGAGATGGTTGTTGAACCTATAGGTGCAGATGAGATTACCAAGGACGGAATCTGGAGGGACACTAAGCAATGAGGGGACTTGAGGGGATGGATAAGACTAGCTGATGGAACAGTCAGTATTACTGGAGCAGGACCAATCAAGTACATGTAGAGAAAGCGAAGAATGAAAGAGAAATATAGTTTGCGTCAAAGACAGGATAATGATACCACCCTCATTTCTGCGCTGCCTCTGGAGATGGGTCTGATCTCCCCACCAAGAGCGGCCGTGCAGGGGAAGGACAACTCCTGTCCCTCCCCAGCACGGCCAGACTAGCAGATAGGAGCTTCGGGCTCCCAGCAGCAGGGGAGATCAGATTTCATGGAGGAGGGCTGATTTCATAGTCTGTGACATGTTTTTCATGGCTGTGAAATTCGTAGGGCCCTAGCTATGACAGAAAAAAGGCCTCTTGTATGTGCAGAGGTACCATGTCACAGAGCAGGGAGGTCATAGTTTGTGCTCTGGGATTGTGTTAATGTATTATATGATCAGTAATACGAGCATTAATAGGATGGGGCAGTAAAACCCAATTTGCTCTAATTCAATTTAATTTTTTCCCAAATGATTGACATGTGAACCACAACCTAAAGCGTAATATTGAAAATCACCCAACAAAGACAGAATTTAATGAAAATCAACTAACGATAAATATAGAAATATTTACTGTTTACAACAAAACTTATTTTTAGATTTTTAAAATTTTAAATATTTTTGTTTTTAGAATATAAACCAATTGGTAAAATAGGCGAGGGAACATTTTCTGATGTTCTGAAGACACAGAGTCTTAGGGATGGAAAATACTATGCATGGAAACAAATGAAACAGCATTTTGAAAGGTAGGTATAGTTGATCATACTATTGCCCAAAATCTGAAAACTTTGTTTACATTTATTGGGGAAATAAATACAAATTTTAAGACTGAATAGAGCAGTGTTTCCCGCTTGTTCAGGGAAAGCCCCTGGTGGGCCGGGCCGGTTTGTTTACCTGCCGGACTGCTTCTTGCAGCCCCCATTGGCCTGCAACTGCGAACCGCGGTCAGTTGGAGCCCCGATCAGCCGAACCTGCGGACGCGGCAGGTAAACAAACCGGCCCAGCCCGCCAGGGGCTTTCCCTGAACAAGCAGCATCCCAAGTTTGGGAAACACTGGAATAGAGGATTCTGAATACTTGTTCAGGTGTATTGAAAAATATGTTGGCATATGTGAGAAAGGGGGAACTGAGGGCCTGATCGTATAGTGAATTATTATTTGGCATTGTGCTTACTACCAAGTAGACCCATTGATGTCACTCACTGTAGCAAATTCTATACCTGCTTGTCGACTGGATTGAGATCAGGATTAGAGAGGGAGGAGGACTGGGGTCTTTGTTCATTCCTATCTACTTTAATGAATATTTGTTCCTGTCACCACTCTGGTCTTGGTTTTACATTTGTAAATGAATTCCTACCAGAAAGGAAAAGTAGAATATGTCTGAACATGCTTGTGTCATTTTTCTTCCTGCCATAAATGAATTAGTAGTAGAAGATGGTGTAAAGAACACCCTCGTTATCCATTGTCAGTTTAAAATTTATTTTATTGTGGATCGTGTAACAGTAGTTATCTTCTCTCCCTGTATAGATTTTGTTCCTCTTTGTGTTTTGTATTTGCCTTTATTCACATTTGATTGTGTCCTCTAATAGTGGGCAACACAAGTCACAGTGGGAGCTCTTTCTTATCAGGAAAATGGCAAAGTGGGATTTACTGGACACCCACACACGGCATTCTCATCCAAATCAAGGTGCACAACCCCTAACTTTAGCATGGGGCCAAGTTCAGCTCTCAATTAGACACATTCATTTCCTATTGATTTCAGTGGGAGTTATTTTTGTAACAATTGACATTGTGTCTACGGCTTTGAAAAATTTCAGGTTTGATTCAGTGCTCTGTTTCGGCACTGATTATCAAGATCTGCAGAGATTAAGGAAGAGTGAGTTTACCAACACATCCTTTTCCTTTAAATGGAAAAAAAAATTAATCAGCCAAGGCCACTGAATATAAACTTTATACTGTAGCCACTTTGTGCTGATACATTAGTACAATGGAGCCATAAACTCAGGGGATCTGGACAGCTGGAGGAACAAGGTGTATGTAAAAGTGGTTCTGTCCTTAGTTACACTGAGTGCAGCTTGGTTACAACCCAATATTTGGTCCAGAATGTTCTGAATGCGCACACAAATTTCTTGGCTAATCAATTTTAGAAATATTAAAAACTGAGAATTTGTTTAATTAGCTGTATGTATGAGGTTTATTTGGGAAAGATGCCAGTTTGGTGGTGCTGAGTTTTGGGATTTTTTGTTTGTTAACACAAAACAGGCTGCCATTATGTCTCACTGAAGTTATGATCAGTTTGTTTTTGTTTGTCAAGATTAAATTTTATTAGATGATGAGGTAGCTGGCCCTGTCATGTAAACCAGTATTGATGAGTCGGTCAGTTTTGCACAGTGTACTCCAAGTAAAATTACTGTTATTTACAGATAGTTGAAACTGGCAGTATATCTTGTGAAACAGATTCCAGCAATGGATTTTTATCAGGGAAATTCACATGGGCAGTTCAGATCTTTTGAGTATATATTTTCCTTTTTTAATGCATATTGAAATTGATTAAAAACAAACATGAAAACTGTACTACTTTGGTTCTGAAAATAACCCTCATTGTGTGAATCAATTTACTGTGGTCATGTTTTGAATTAAAATTAGGAACATTTTATTCGGGACCATTCAGAAATGCTAACATTAAGCACTGAGACCAAAAACATATCCAGTCAATCATGTTAGTTTTCAGAGATCTGTTTTAGTTTTGTCTCTCTTTTTATTAAAAAAGAAAACTGTGTAGAGTTGAGACCAAATTAACAAAAATAAATACTAGTTATGAGATTAAGAAATTTTGAGTGTGTTCAACTCATTGCACTTAGATGTCCACCATTCCCATATTTACGAGGGATTGTGAAAGCATCTTCCCTATGATGCATTAAAGTGACCCTTAGGTCTTGGACCCTCTGATAGTTATGAATGGCTAGAGGTTACACTTTTACTGGAATGTTCACTTATAGCTATAGGTAATAGTGATATAAATTGATCTTGCTAGTACAGGATAATTTTCTTAGTTTCATAAGGATTTTGGCATTTGGTTAACTCTTGATCAGCTTGTGAAAGGAAAAGCTTATCCTGTAGTGATTTGCTATATCTAGTGTCCATGCAAGGCCATTGAAGCCCCATAAAATGGATTTTTCCCCCAACGGTTTCTGTAGCTGAACTTCTAATGGTTAATTGAGTCCCAGGCATGAATGACATAGTATTTAATTATGTTTCAACTAGCTAGTAAAATACTGTGTTTCAGTTCTTCACACTAGTGGTTATTAATTTTTAAATTGAGTTTGAACGCTAATGATTACACAGGGCTAGATTGTGCCTTTTAGGTATAGTCTTTAGCTGTAAGATGCACCAACCCAGGAGTAGCAGTGGGAGTTATTGTGACTTGGATGCACTTCTGAGTCACAGTTCCTCTCCGATTTCTTTCTTGCTGCTGTGGAGTAATAATTTACTTCTGGACTACACCAACAGTAAATTACTCCCCACTTCTCCTGGGTCAGCCAGTCTGGTCAGCAAGAAGGGGAAGTGGAGCCAGGATATTACCCATTTCCCACCCCATCCCCTTGCCCCAGGCAGTTAACTCCCCAATTACTTCTTCATTCCTGGACCCCAGATTTGGGTAGCTTGCAGAGGGACATAAGAGGAAGGGAGGTTCTTGCTCCCTTGTGTGGGGACTTAGTCACAATCTAATTCCTAAATTGTAAACTAGTTTTCCACTCTCACTTCTTTTTTAAATTACACATTAGTATCGAGCAAGTGAATAGTCTGCGAGAAATACAAGCACTGAGGCGACTGAATCCACATCCTAATATCCTTATGTTACACGAGGTGGTTTTGTAAGTACAGTGTATTTATTTCCCCTACTTCCTGTATCCTCTATTTGCAAATTTTTCAGTAGCTTTTCGAGACAAAAGACAGCTTGGAGGCATTTAACCAATTATTTATTCCATCAAAAAGGAAATCTTTGGAAGATCTGTCTGATTCTCCCAAGCCCTTATGCCTATTGTTAAGCAAAGATATGATACAGTTCTAAATTACACTTTTCAGTTTCTTTAGAGTATATTGCTGCAAAAACATGAACTACAACATCCATACTATCAAAATGGGAAAACAAGTGATCTGGGACAAGAGATATTTTTAAGCAATTAATAAATTTATGTTCTGGTTTTACGGGAAGGAGACTTAATGCCTACTGCCCTCCAAGGCTCCCTGTACTCTGTTGCACAGATAGACCAAATTCTGTAGCAAAGCTGACTTCTATTCTATTGCCTTCATCCTCCTCGCCCCTATGCAACTGCACACTATGGTTCATTGCTGAAATTAATCAAGCATAACATTTGTTGATTATTATTTACAAGGATTTTTTTTCACTATGCTCTTCAGGCTGGCTTTTGCATTCTCTGGGCCTCAGCCCTTGCAGTGTTATCCAGACAACCCAGCTTAGAAACTACTTCTCACTACAAGTGCCAGAAGAGGGAAGCTAGTATTCATCTTTAGTAGCCCATCTCCTGAGTTCCCTAGATCTAGCTACAGCCCAGATTGTCAGCCACTCTCTTGCTGCAAGATGGACTCCATTTCTGGTTCCCCAATTCCTTTTTGCCTGGCTCAACTGAACAGTGCAGGGAGCGTTCACTGTAATCAAATTATTGGGAAAGGAACATTGGAGAGCAAGAGGCATCCGTAGACAGGTCCCACCAGGGCAAGGAAAAATAAAACAAAATGTCGGTTGCCAGCTGCAGGAACATGATGAATTCCATGGCATCTTGGAAAAACATCAAGTTATTTAGCAGCAGAATTGTGAAGTCCACAGGGGCCCGTTTTGAGATAATGAGGTAGGTCACACTTCTCAGGGAGATGTTCCAGCTCCCTGTAGAGTCAAACAGGAAGCACTCTCTGTTCATATTCACAAGTTTTTCTGCAACTACAAGGTTAAACATTTAAAAAAAAAAAAATCCCAAAATCTCAGATTCTGGAGTAAAACATTTGAGTGTCGCAATTGTGGAATAGACTGGGTCCTGCTTTTAATCATTTCACAACTCCTATTACATACATAGTGCCAGGCAAAATGAAAAAGCACAGATGGACAACAATTACCATTCTGAAGGTCATTCCCAATATAGAATTTAAGGTTGGAAGGGACCAGGACCATCATGATCATCTAGTCTAGAGGTCCCCAAACTGTGGGGTGTGAGGGGGCATGGAGGACTGTTTGGGGGGCTGCGGCTGGGGCCCGGGCCAGCCCCCAGGTGAGGTAGTGATACCTGGCCCCGGGGCCCTGACCACCGGCCCTGCACCCAGGGCTCTGCTCCCGGTCTCCCACCCCCGTACCCGAGCTGTGGCACCAGCTCTCTTACCTCTGTCCACGTCCCCCCACTCCTGGAGTCATGCCATCACTCCCGGCTCGTGGGGGGGGGGGGCGGGAGGTGCAGACAGGGGTAAGGGGGGTCGTGAGGTAAAAAGTTTGGGGATCACTGATCTAGTCTGACCTGCACATTGCAGGCCACAGAACCTCACCCACCCACTCCTGTAATAGATTCCAAACCTCTGGCTGAGTTACTGAAGTCCTCAAATCATGATTTAAAGACTTCAAGTTACAGGAAATCCACTATCATAGAAAACTGCCACTGTTAAAATATAGAATTTAGAAAGTGACATAGCTAAAAATGTGACTTATTTTGGCCAGATGGAACAATATTGGGACCAGCTCAACTATTAAATATTTTCAGATATGGCACAATGCTTTTGTATCTCTTATCAATGTTTAGTGTATACTTTATGGCTATATTATGTCTTGCTATTTTATTGGGAGCTTCCAGACTGCATCATTGTGCCATACTTAGAGTAAAAATCCATATAGTACTTGGAAGGCTAATGAGGCTTCCTGCCAGGAGAGCCGAATGCAAAGAGTTTGGGAAAATGCCATTGTAAATTAAAATTATAAATCAATTTCAATAGGTTTCTCTAGGTAAAGGTTTGTTGAAACTGAAAACTACAAGTTGCCTTATTGATGATTAAACTGACTCTTTTGCTGAGTGGAGTACTTTTTGTCTACTTTGTATACAAATGCAAATATAATTTTATTTCTTGCTCAGAAAAAAACACCCTATTTGTTTCTTCAGTGACAGAAAATCTGGCTCTCTTGCACTAATATGTGAACTTATGGACATGAATATTTATGAGCTAATAAGAGGTATGTAGAGCATGTTTGAGTCATTCAAAATCCTCCCTTTCACAGACCATAAAGTGGCATTAATCATACTTTTCATTTGGCTTTCATGTAATGATTATATAGTATGAAATTGAAGAGTATATTGTACAATTTTTAGGGAAATTTCTACTATTTTTTGCCTGTTTTCTATACTATATAGGCATTTTTAATTTAGAAACTTGTGCACACGTCTATTTTAAATGAGTCAGAGTAGTGACTCTATAGATATACATGATCAAACCTGAAAGGGAAACAACTCTGATACAGACTACACGACTGCTACTCTGAAACATGGAAAGTTTGTATTGCATTACGTTATACATTTTCATTATAAAAAATTACCAGTTTAATGGTAAGAAAATTGTGCTCATTTTGTTTGAAAGCAGCAAATCTTTCAGTTGAAACTTAATAAAGTTTGAGAACCAAGGTAAGTCTATTCAAGAAGGGCTCATGATAGAGTAATACAAGCCTCTACAGCTTCTGCTAAACTTTATCCCCATAGAAGAAGCCTGCCAAATTACTACCTGGAACTTCCTTCATGTTCTGTAAACATTAGTTCCTAGCTTCTGATGCTAGAGCAGCTGTTTTTCAATGTAAGAATTAGGACCATGGGAGGAGTTTCCAGGAAAAGACAGTAGGATGATTTGCCAGTAACTAAAGACAATAAATTGAAGTGGAGGAAGGCTAGAGTGTGTTGGTCATTTATTTTTAGAGCTGTCTAAAGACAAAAGTTGTACTGCTTTAATTATATGACCCCCCTGCACACTGTGGACAAAGTTTCAGTGGTGCTTATATCAGTGTAGTTTATTTATGTAAGAGAAAGGGAATGAGCTATACTGGTCTATGGCACCTTTATACTTGTGTAAGTGCATCCACACAAGGGGTTGTTCTAGTATTTCTATAGCAATTTAAAGAAAAATCACATCCCTAACCAACAGTTATGCCAGTACAAAAACTATGTAGACAAGGCCACATAGACATTTTGAGAGCTGGATAATGGTTGCTGGCTGGGGCTAGGGAGGTTGTTATTGAAGTTTAATGTGCAGCGATTTCAAAATTTAAAATAGTCACTAGAAAAAACAACATGCCCAGGGTATGATATGTGGTACTTTAAAACCCAAATAAGCAAATAATTGCACGCTGAGTTACAATCTAGAGAAAAGTTCCTACTAACTTTGAGGAGACCATGCTTTCAGACCTCTGCAATGGTGAATAACCCTGTTTTTTATCTATACTTAGATCAAAAGCTGAAATTAGAATGCCGAAAAGTAGTTGAACTATGCTTGTCATTGTAAAAGTTGAGTCATGCAGTAGCTCGTGTCTTTGTTATTAAAACATAAATAATAGCCTTATAATAAGTCTAGTCTTCAGACTTGTGGTATCCTTAGTAAGTCTGAGTCAGTAATGTAAGGGGCTGTCATCTACAATGGATTAATCGGATGGATTGTAAGCAAAACTTTCTGCTTCCAGGAAACCGATTTGAGCGTTACTTATTTCAGTTCTGAAAAATTAAAATGTTTAGGTTTGTACTTCAGAACTGACTGAAGCATTTGCTGTGTCCCTTATTGTTCAGCTTAACTGTGAAGCTCACACCTATAATTTAATAAACAAAACCACCATATTAAATATTTCTTGTAAATGGAATTAACAGAATTCCAGTACTTTCAGCAATGAGTCCGTTTTCCTTACGTAGGCATACAAGACCCAGAGCTCCTCAGCTACAAAATCTTTAAAAGCCATTAGATCCTGTCAATAGGGTACTGGAGTCCAGGATTCTGCTCCCAGCGTACACTGATCTGCTGCTTGGCTTTTGGCATGTCATGTCAATTCCGTGCTTGTTTCCTCTCCCAACCTCTATCTTGTCTAATCTATTTAGATAGTAAGCTTTGTGAATAGGGACCACCTCTCACTGTGTGTGTACAGTGGCTAGGGCCTGTAGGTGTTACTGAAATAAAAGTAATGGTCTTCCATCACAGGCACTTGGGTTTCAACAACATTCATCCCCACAGGGCTTGCTGACTCCCACTTTACATACAACCCCATTAGTCACCAAAATGATGCAATCACAGCTTCCTTGGAACCCTGTTTAAGAATGGAGCCAGCTTGTTGGGAGCTAGAAGAGCTATTTGTTATAGTTTTGAGGGAGGGAAAACAGTTATAGCTTTAGGAAGCTATACAAGAGTGTGTCAAATAGTATAGATATCTGAATGCCTATAGACCAACTCTGCTTTGAGTTGGGAAGGAAAAGGTGGCCTTTCTACAACTGAAGCATATAAGTAGTTACGGTAGAAGGTAGCTATTTCAGCAGAGTAGGATCTAGTTAGCTGCAGTTGGATGGATGTCGGGAGACCTAGAATGAAAATAATAGAAAGATTAGTATTCTGAACGTCCTTCCTTAGCCTGGTGTGTGGATGGGGGTGGATTTGAATACCTGACTTAGGCTTGGTCTACACTACCAACTTATGTCGATATAACTACATCGCTCAAGGGTGTGGAAAATCCACACCCCTGAGCGACATAGTTACACCACCCTAACCCTCCCAGTGTAGACAGTGCTATGTCGATGGGAGGGTTTCTCCTTTTGACACAGCTGCCATCTCTCGGGGAGGTGGAGTACCTACACCAACAGGAGAAGCCCTTCTGTTGGCTTAGGTAGAGTCTTCACGAAGGGCATGTCTACACTTACCTCCGGAGCGATGGATCCAGTGGAGGTCGATTTATCGCATCTAGTGAGGAAGATAAATCGACTGCCGAGCGTTCTCCCGTCAACTCCGGTACTCCACTGGAGCGAGAAGCGCAGGTGGAGTCGACGGGGGAGCGTCAGCAGTCGACCTACTGCAGTGAAGTCACCACAGTAAGTAGATCTAAGTACATCCACTTCAGCTATGTGAAAGTTGCGTAACTTAGATCGATTTTTTCCCCCCGCCCCAGTGTAGACCAGGCCTAAGTTTTACAGCATTGCAGCCGAAGTGCTGTAAGTTTAGACAAGCCCTTAGTCTGGTTAGGGAGGTGAAAGTTGAATGCTATAGTCTGGATAATGGGGAGAAATCAGCATTGCTAAAAAGAGTTGTAAGTCCGTTTACAACTCACCTTTTTAAAGCGTGCTCTCTAATTTTTTTAGTAGTCATCTGGTGTTATCTTTGAATGCCTTGAAAGGGAGATGGATTTTCTGAATATAGGACCAGGATTTAAACTTGTAATTTGATGGATAACAGTTTCCAAAAATCAAAGTTTTCCACAGGAAGATTCCAAGTTTGCTGACATTTTTGATTTTCTGTTAGGAAAACCAAAATATTTCATTTCAGGTTGGGTCAACTCAAATTGAAACATTACAGTTTAGTTCGAGTTTGACATTGAACTGCATCTATCTGAGCTGCTATGAAACCTTGTGCCCGGGTTCTTCTTTATGGGCTGGGCTCCCTGGCTGGACTCATTTCCCATGATTCACCACTGTCTCATCTCTTGTTTAACTTCTGCAGTGCATTATGGGTAATGTACCATGAGGAGCCTGGGTCATAGAGGAGAATGGGATATGAGGTACCTGATCTACAGCTTCACATGAGGCAGCAAGATAACATCATTACATTTTCAAATTGAATTGTTTTGGAATTTTCTGTTCTGTGGAAAAAATATTTCAACTTTTGTCTCAATTAAACACATGTGCCAAAATATCAACATTTCCTGTGGATGGAAATTCTGATTTTGAACTAGCAATAGCCACAAACGGAGCCACCAAAAAGAAAGGGCACCTGCAAAACCCAGCCAACACTTGAGACTTGCTGTTTTAAAACCTAGAAAATGTTAAGCTCCCAACACACAGTTGAACTGGAAAATAAATGAATCCTTCTTAATTTTGAAAAGTATAGTATTCAACAACTTCAAGAATACTACCTGGATGATAGTTGCAACTAAATAAAAGGATCTCCTTTTTGTAGCTGCCCTGTTCTGAAGCAGAAGGAACATATTGCTAATCTGTACATCACTCTGCTGTAGATATTATTTTATTGATGCTTTGTCAGAGAGCAGCCCTCCACAGCTGTGCACCCACACAAACTAGTTAACATCTCAGACTGTTTCACTGTGCAGAAGAGAAATGGATTACTACCGGTAAACAATATCTCTTTAGTGTTAATTATGCTTTAATTTTCTGAATAAAGTTATGAATCCTGCAAAATAAAATTTGAAAAAGGCATAAAACTACTACAAAAAGGCTTTTTTAAACTCGGTGGAGACAATGAAAGAGGGGAAGCAAATGTCTAGAACCAGCTGGTCTATACAAAGTTTTGGAATGAAGAAAATTTTCAAGCATGGGTTTGCTAAGAATAGATTTCTAATTGGAACAGGTGTGTGAGAACAGCAATGTTTACGAAAGCAGCATTTATTCGGTTTCTTAATGGCACTGGTCTTGGAAATTAATCCTATTTTTTCTGAAAAAATTCTGGTTGACAGAAATATTAACATTGGTTATGTAGATTAGGAATATTTTGAAAGTGTCTTTAAAACTACTCAAGTGGGGAAAGAATTATGACATAATCTCCTTACAAAGTTATGTTGTGAATAGAACATTTAGCGCAATAGAGTGCCTTCATTCACTATCTAGAAACTAGGCACTCAGGTCTATTCCAATTAAGTAAATGGGAATTTTGCCAGTGACTTCAGTGGAAGGAGGTTAGGACTCTTAAGATCCGGAGAAGATTCCGTGGATACAAGTGCATTGCAGCCACATACAAGGTAACATCTTCCTGTTGTGATTCTGTTCATAATTATTTATTGAGTTAAGCTTTTATAATGTTGTAATTCTGAAAGCTGAAGAGCATTGGTTCAGTCCTGAAAGGTGACTTGCAAAGGGAAAAAACAGTTGAGCTTGTACCTTGTTATGAAGATGCCTACATTTATTTTATTTTTTTTTAATTCTATTTTTAACATTAGTAATTCAGAGTTTGTCTGATGTGGAAGACTATGTAACCTTGTCTGCACTAAGAAAGTTTTTCAAAAAATCCCATTGTTGCTGACAGCACTGTTAAGAGCCCTAATGTAAATGCACCACTGTTTCAAGCATTGTTGTCTAATCTACATGGATTATGGTGATTGGGGAACTAATGTGGAATTTTGAGAAATACCTGTCACTTTGTGTGATTTGTATTCCTATGTGACTTAGGCACTTATGAATAGTTGACTATGGGTATGACTACTCTACGAAATTAGGTCGAATTTATAGAAGTCGATTTTTAGAAAGCGATTTTATACCGTCGATTGTGTATGTACCCACTAAGCGCATTAAGTTGGCGGAGTGCGTCCACAGTACCCATGCTAGCATCGACTTTCGGAGTGTTGCACTGTGGGTAGCTATCCCACAGTTCCCACAGTCTCCGCTGCCCATTGGAATTCTGGGTTAAGCTCCCAATGCCTGATGGGGCAAAAACGTTGTCGCAGATGGTTTTGGGTACATGTCGTCAGTCACCCCTTCCTCCGTGAAAGCAATGGCAGACAATCGTTTCATGCCTTTTTTCCATGCGGGTGCCATACTGCTTTCAGCAGATGGTGCAGTAGGACTGCTAACTGTTGTCTTCAAACCACCGCATTTGCTGCCACTCCGCTCTCCTGCTCTTGTCTCAATAGTGAATTTCTCTGTGTTGCCTCTTGTGGGCTCCCGCTTCCGCGGCAACTCTGCTCTCATGAATCCACCTCACAGGTCGTCAGCCACCGCTTCCGCTGCCACTCTGCTCTCCTGGTGGTCTCGCAGGGCCGCTTCCGCTGAAGCTCTGCTCGCCTGCTCTTGTCTCGCCATAACATGGCAAGTGTGCAGCCCGCTCAGCTGTTGTGTCCTGGCAGCAGACGGTGCAGTAGATTTGCAAACCATCATCATTGAACGACCGCTTCCGTTGCCACTCTGCTCTCCTGCAGACGCCATATCATGGCAAGCATGGAGCTTGCTCAGATCACCGCAGCAGTTATGAGCATTGTAAACACCTCTCACATTATCATGCAGTATATGCAGAACCAGAACCTGCAAAAGCAGGCAGGGGGCGATGGCAGCGCAGTGATGAGGACATGGACACAGACTTCTCTCAAAGCATGGGCCCCTACAATTTGGCCATCCTGGTGGCAATGGGGCAGGCTTATGCCATGGAACACCGATTCTGGGCCCGTGAAACAAGCACAGACTAGTGGGACTGCATAGTGTTACAGGTCTGGGATGATTCCCAGTGGCTGTGAAACTTTCACATGCGTAAGGTCAAAGTTCCATGAAAGTGCCTTGCTTTCCCCTGCCCTGAAGCGCAAGAATACCAAGAAGAGAGCAGCTCTCATGGCTCACAAGCGAGTGGCGATAGCCCTGTGGAAGCTTGCAACGCCAGACAGCTACTGGTCAGTTGGGAATCAATTTGGAGTGGGGCAAGTCTACTGTGGGGGCTGCTGTGATCCAAGTAGCCAACGCAATCACTGAGCTGCTGATATCAAGGGTAGTGACTCTGGGAAATGTGCAGGTTATAGTGGATGGCTTTGCTGCAATGGGATTCCCTAACTGTGGTGGGGCGATAGACGGAACGCATATCCCTATCTTGGGACCGGACCACCAAGGCAGCCAGTACATAAACCAAAAGGGGTACTTTTCAATGGTGCTGCAAGCATTGGTGGATCACAAGGGACGTTTCACCAACATCAACGTGGGATGGCCGGGAAAGGTACATGACGCTCGCATCTTCAGGAACTCTGGTCTGTTTCAAAAGCTGCAAGAAGGGATTTTATTCCCAGACCAGAAAATAACTGTTAGGGATGTTGAAATGCCTATAGTTATCCTTGGGGACCCAGCATACTCCTTAATGCCATGGCTCATGAAGCCATTCACAGGCAGCCTGGACAGTAGTCAGGAGCTGTTCAACTACAGGCTGAGAAAGTGCAGAGTGGTGGTAGAATGTGCATTTGGATGTTTAAAAGCGCACTGGCGCAGTTTAGTGACTCGGTTAGACCTCAGCGAAACCAGTATTCCCATTGTTATTACTGCTTGCTGTGTTCCCCACAATATCTGTGAGAGTAAGGGGGAGACATTTATGGCGGGGTGGGAAGTTGAGGCAAATCGCCTGGCTGCTGATTACTTGCAGTCAGACACCAGGGCGGTTAGAAGAGCACAGCAGGGCGTGCTGCGCATCGGAGAAGCTTTGAAAACCAGTTTCATGGCTGAGCAGGCTACGGTGTGAAAGTTCTGTTTGTTTCTCCTTGATGAAAACCCACCACCTTGGTTCACTCTACTTCCCTGTAACCCAACTGCCCTCCCATCCCACCTTCGATCACCTCTTACAGAGGCAATAAAGTCGTTGTTTCAAAATCATGCATTCTTTATTAATTCGTCACACAAATAGGGAGATAGCTGCCAAGGTAGCCCGGGAGGGGTGTGGGAGGAGGGAAGCACCGGGTGGAGTGGGGGGGTGAAGGAGCAGGGGAGGAAGGAAGGACAAGGCCACATTGCACTTTAAAACTTATTGAATGCGAGCCTTCTGTTGCTTGGGCAGTCCTCTGGGGTGGAGTGGTTGGGTGCCTGGAGGGGCACCCCCACCCCTGCGTTCTTAGGCGTCTGGGTGAGGAGACTATGGAACTTGGGGAGGAGGGCGCTTGATTACACAGGGGCTGCAGTGGCGGTCTGTGCCTTTCCTGCACCTCAACCATACGCCGGAGCATATCAGTTTGATCCTCCAGTAGCCTCAGCATTGCATTCTGCCTCCTTTATCATGCTGCCGTCACCTCTCCTGTTGCTCCAGCCATCTGTCCTCATGTTCATTTTGTGCTTTCCTGGACTCTGCCATTGTCTGCCTCCACGCATTCTGCTGGCTGTTTCAGTTTGGTTGGACTGCATGAGCTCAGAGAACATTTCATTGCGAGTGCATTTTTTTTGCTTTCTTATCTGCGCTAGCCTCTGGGACAGAGATGCTAGTAGCAGTGTTGAAACTTTTGCAGCTGTGGGAGGAAAAAAAGGGAGATTAAAATGGAAAAAGACACATTGGCCATTTAAAAGGAGGGGCTGATGTTTTCGGGTTAACGTGCAGCACAAACCCAACTAACCCCCCCCCCCCACACACACACACACCCCCCCAATTCTCTGGGATGATCGCTTCACCCCTCCCTCCACCATGTGGCTAACGGGGAGGGGATGATTTCTTTTCAGCCACAGGCAAACAGCCCAGCAGGAACGGCCACCTCTGAATGTCCCCTGAATAAAATTCCCCTGTTTCAACCAGGTGACCATGAACGATATCACTCTCCTGAGGATAACACAGAGAAATAAAGAACGGATGTTGCTTGAATGCCAGCAAACACCGGGACCACACACTGCCATGCTTTCTTATACAATGATTCCAGACTATGTGCTACTGGCCTACCATGGTAAAGTGTCCTACCGTGGAGGACGCAATAAGGCTGCCCTCCCCAGAAACCTTTTGAAAAGGCTTTGGGAGTACCTCCAGGACAGCTTCATTGAGATGTCCCAGGAGGATTTCCGCCCCATCCCCAGACACATTAACAGACTTTTCCAGTAGCTGTACTGGCCGGGAATGCATCCCAAGTCTTCAGGGCAAGGTATTCACTAAACACGCTTGCTTTGAAACTTGCTTTTAAACCATGCATTATATTTACAAAGGTACACTGACCAGAGCTTCCTTCTCCACTTTTAAGGTCCGGGAGCCCGGGTTGGGAGGGTATTGGATCCAGGGTGATAAACAGTTCCTGGCTGTCGGGGAGAACGGTTTCTCCGCTTGCCTGGTGTATGCTATCTTCAGCCTCCCCCTTCTCATCATCTTCCTTGTCCCCAAAATGTTCATCACTGTTGCATGAGACTCCCCCCTTGCAGGAGTCCACGTACAGGGGTGGGGCAGTGGTAGGGGCACCCCCTAGAATTGCATGCAGCTCATCACAGAAGCGGCATGTCTGGGGCTCTGACCCTGAGCGGGCATTTGACTCTTGGGTTTTTTGGTAGGCTTGCCTAAGCTCCTTAAGTTTCACATGATACTGTTGCGGGTCCTTGTGATAGCCTCTGTCCTTCCTGCCCTTGGAGATTTTTTTTCAAATATTTTGGCATTTCATCTTTTGGAATGGAGTTCTGAAAGCACGGATTCGTCTCTCCATACAGCGATCAGATCCAGTACCTCCATTCGGTCCATGCTGGAGCTCTTTTGCGATTGTGGGACTCCATGGTCACCTCTGCTGATGAGATCTGCACGGTCACCTGTGCTGATCAGCTTGCCACACTGGCCAAACAGGAAATGAAATTCAAAAGTTCATGGGGCTTTTCCTGTCTACCTGGCCAGTGCATCCCAGTTCAGAGCGCTGTCCAGAGCAGTCACAATGGATCACTGTGGGATAGCTCCCGGAGGCCAATACCGTCGAATTGCATCCACACTAACCCAAATTTAACCCGGGGATGTCAATTTCAGCGCTAATCCCCTCATTGGGGAAGAGTACAGAAATCGATTTTAAGAGTGCATTAAGTCAACAAAAATGGCTTCATTGTGTGGACGGGTACAGGGTTAAATCGATCTAATGCTGCTAAATTCAACCTAAACTCATAATGTAGACCAGGGCTAAGGGTAGAATTATTAAACTAGAAACATCAAGGGTCAAGAGAATGAAAGCAAGCAGTTTATTGGGGAAGGAATCTTTAGTTAGTCATACTGTTTACAATTTTTTTTATTAATACATATTACCTTCAGTAATTAACATTTTGGAATTTTAAACATGTCAAAGATTTCACACCCCAGCCCTTTCAAATAAGGTGTGAGTGCTCACAATATACATGGTCAGAGATACAATAGGTCCTCTAGCAAAATCAAGGAAGACCAGATTTGACATTCCTGATACTTAATGGTAAAAAAAAAAAAAAAAAAAAGGCAGAAAACAAATAAGGGAAAGTTTTCAGGCCTTTATATACATCAAAGAAGCAAAAAAGGACCCAATCTGATTTTTATTTTTTTTTAAAATCCTCTGCAGAATTCTGAAAAAACAAATATTGCAGGTTAGTCTTAAACAAACCTGTGTTATAGCAGACTCTTACGCTAACAAGGGGATGAATCGTCTTGTGGTTCGGACAGTGGACCGAGAATCCAGAAATCTTGGTTCTGTAGCTGGCTCAGCTGTAGACTTCTTTTGAGACCTTAGGAAAGGCATTTCACCTCTAAGCTTCAGTTTCATCATCTGTCAAATGGGAGTAAGTGCTCAGATACTGTAGTAATGGGGACCATACAAATGCCATTAAAGAAAAGAATTCTTATTGTCTTACTCTTTTAGGTATAACATTTATTTTTACGTGGCAAACCGCTCTACCTGGCAAAGAATGAGTACAAATAGAAAATCCAAAGGTTGCAATAACATGTTTGGCTATATAGTTAACTAGCATTATAATCTAAAGTTAGTTTTAGTTAATGAATTGTTAAATACAGTCTAACTTTGAAGTAATTTAAAACTTGTTTAACCAGAGTCACTAAGTTTTCTAAGGAATTTGTTAATTTTCTCTTTGTACTTATTTAGAGGCACTACAGAATAGCTCAAAGCCTTAAGAAGGCCTGTAAAGGAAACAATCTGAGTGATTATCAGATGTCTTCAGGACCCTAAACAAAAATGGAGTAGTCTTGCTTGTCAGCAGTCTTACCTTTGTCAGTAACACCCACTGAAGTAAACAGGTTGTTCTGTAATTTGCATACCAAAACAGGAATAAGACACTTTGGGCAGTGCACTTGTAGAGGAATAAATCCCTTCTAAATCTTGAACTTTATGCATCATTACTTTAGTGCTTACATAGGAAATGAGGTCTACCAATATGTTTGGAATGGAATACTTCTGCTATAATTCAATTGGGGGAAAATAGATATATGATGTTACCATTCATAATACTCTCAACTTGTCTGGAGCAGAATCCCTCCCTGCACTATGAAAAATCATGCAATACCAATGCTGCCAATTTATAGGCAGTCAGATTCACAGCTGTACTTGTCAGACTATTCTGGTGTATTCTGAAATTTGGCTGTCTTCACCTTATGTCCTAGTTCAAATGAAATGCTGATTGCAATGGTGGTGGTTTTGTACGACAAGTGTAAAAATATTAATCAAATTCTTCTTATTCATGAAGAGGGGAATATGGATTCCGTATCAGAAGGTGAAAAGTGGATGTTACTTCTATTGTATACTTACTCACTGATATAAAGCATTTGTGCAACTTGAAATTTCATTTGACTGTTCCACATTCTAGGGAGGAGAAAGCCATTACCTGAAAAAAAAATAATGAACTACATGTACCAGTTGTGCAAGTCCCTTGATCACATGCACAGGTAAGACTAAATTCAGCAGTAACCTTTCAAGAAGTATGCCATACGCTTATAATTAAATATTGCCTTCAAATAATTAGAAACATAGTGAATATGCTCATATTTTCATTGAGTTGTTCTTTTTGGTATTTTTATATTGGTGCAGAAATGGAATATTTCATAGAGATGTGAAACCAGAAAATATATTAATAAAGGTAAGTAGTCTTGTGAGATGATATCATTTAACTGAAAGTGTAAGTACATATACTAGCTTCTCAGAATAAACAGAGAAATGTATATCTTTGTAAGTGTGAGGTATAATTTTCATAGTTAGAGAGAGTTGACTCTTTGGTATGTAACTTTAGTCTTGTGCCCTCTCTTCCTTGAATGGTGAATGAACAAATGTTTTCTTTTGCTATTGGATAAAAGCATAAATGGATTCTCTTGTTCTATAGCTGCAAATCTTACATCTGAGCTAAGTCTGAAAGCAAACAAACTCACTTTTTCATGTATTAATGACTTTTTCCGTTTTGTGCTATTTTTGAAACAAGTGTTGGGACTTAGTCCTGCAACCCCCTTTTCCATGTTTAACTCCTATGGTCGGCAGAAGTTGTTCACACAACTGCACAAGGAGACCTTACGTTGATTTTGTTTTTGAAAGATTCCTGTATTAAAAACTATCAAATGCTGGCAGAAGGCCTATTTTCCAGAGTTGTTTAGTAGTTTTGTTGCCAGAATTCAGCTCATTTATTTTTATGGGATAGATTTTACTGTTTCAAAGTCCTTAGTGTGTCCCAAAATGAAACCAGGAGGACGAAGAGGAACTAATACAAAGAAAAGCCAGAAAAATATCTATCATGTGACTACTAAAATGAGGACACCAAGAAAATAACCTCATCTAAATATGTCGCTTTTAGCAACGTTCCCTTCAAGACTAGCTAATACATTTTACTATTAATGGTTATCTCTAACATTTTTTGTGAAAATGTACAGAAAGATATTAGTGTGTATTATGGGACATAAATGGCCTTAAATTTCAGAAGCACTTACAATTTAAAGGACAGTTTTACAATTTGTTACCATAATGAAACATTTACCATAGCTGAGATATGCTTCATTGATAGGCTGCTGGAGTGTCACTGGAATAGGCTTTAATAACATTTAAACGCAGACATGCAATTTGACATTCCAAATCACCTTTTTTCTCTTAAACAAAACAAAAACAAAAAAACCTAAAAGTTAGTACCAAAAGCAAACTATAATTAGATTTATAATGGCTGGTTCAGGTATTTCAGAAGTCTTCCTGCCTTTGCTTCAATATTTGACCGTTTTCTAATTTATTGGACAACATAAGGTTGGTTGGTTTGTTTGTTTGTGGTTTCTTTGCAGCAGGATACCCTGAAGTTAGGAGACTTTGGATCTTGTAGGAGTGTATATTCCAAGCAGCCATATACAGAATATATCTCTACACGCTGGTACCGAGCACCTGAGTGCTTGCTCACAGATGGCTACTATAGCTACAAAATGGACATGTGGAGCTCTGGCTGCGTTTTCTATGAAATCACAAGGTACAGTGCTAAGTAGAAAGAAATTCAGAGTCTGGTTTATTCAGTGTCAAAGAAACTCCAAGTTGAGAATCAATTTATTATGTAATCAGCACGTGGCATGAGTAATATTATGTTAAAGGCATAAATGTTATTTACCATGGTTTTCTGGAACTCTTTCATGCCTCTAGTCTGGAAGTTACATTAGGCACAGATCCTTCCTTGTCTGTCACCAAACACATATAATAGCAGATTAACAATAAAGTAGCTGGATGCTTAACAGAAAGTAAGACTGTCACATGCCTTTATGTAGTTAATTCCCCCTACGTGTTTTATTGTTTGTAATATTTTTTCATGATTGAATATTTCTTAGTTTGGGAAATAGTGATTGTTTTTTCTTCCTTTCCTCACTGAGTCCTGCATGGCTCACTGGGGGTATGCTCCCAGGGGTTGCCCGCAGTGGTCAGTCCTGAGTCTGGTACTATTCAATAGTTTCATTAATGACTTGGATAATGGAGTGGAGAGTATACTTATAAAATCTGCAGATGACACTAAATTGGAAGGGGTTGCAAGTCTTTTGGAGTATAGGATTAGAATTCAAAATGACCTTGACAAAATGGAGAATTGTCTGAAATCAACAAGATAAAATTCAATATAAGTGCAAAGTACTACATTTAGGAAGGAAGAATCAAATGCACAAATACAAAATGGGGAATAATTGGTTAAGTGGTAGTACTGATGAAAAGGATCTGTGGGGTATACTGGATCAACAATGTGATACAATTGTGAAAAAAGCTATTATCATTCTGCAGTGTCATATGTAAGACATGGGAGGTAACTGTCTCTCTCTACTCAGCACTAGTGAGCCCTCAGCGGGAGTACTTTGTCCAGTTCTGGGCACCACGCTTTAGGAGAGATGTGGACAAATTGGAGAGAGCCCAGAGGAGAGCAACAAAAATGATAAAAGGTTTAGAAAACCTGTCTGATGAGGAAAAGTTAAAAAAACTGGGCATGTTTAGTCTTGAGAAACAATACTGTTGGGGGTGAGGGTCAGGGGAGAAACATCTGATACCAGTCTTCAACTATGTTGAGGGCTGTTATAAAAAGGATGGGGATCCGTTGTTTTTGGTGTCCACTGAGGGTAGGACAAGAAGTAACTGGTTTAATTTGCAGCAAGAGAGATTAGGGTTAAATATTAGGAATAACTTTCTAACTATTTGGGTAATTAAGTTCTGGAATAGGTTTCCAATGGAGGTTGTGGAATTCCCATCACTGGAGGTGTACAAGAGCAGGTTAAACAAACACCAGTCAGGGATGGTCTTGGCTTACTTGGTCCTGTCTCAGCACAGGGGGATGGACTTGATGACCTTTCAAGGTCCCTTCCAGCCCTACATTTCTATGATTCTATGCTGACAGTGCAAGTGAGATATAATTGTAGCCTACCAATGCTATTTTTAATCTATCTAGCCCGTGTGGTGTAACAACAGTAGAGTAGACATGGCGGCATGGGCTAACAACGCAGGTACATAGCAGGCTCTCCAGGAAGCTTGTACTCTGGCTGCTAGCCTATGCTGCCATGTCTTCACCACTATTATTACCAGTGCTAGATAAATTAAAGCTAGCAGGTGTATGCCTTCTTGTGCTACAGTCACACCTTCAATGGCAGTGTAAACATACCCTTGTTGTCATGAGCATAGCCGTCCTCAGTTTTGATAGTACATTTGAGATGTTAATATTTTTGCCTCCTCTGCTGATTTACTCTTTTGCAACAGCAGAGGAAATCAGTCACATGGGAGTCAACTCTGCAGTTTAATTTGTAAAAGTTTGTTAAACCACATTTTCTACAGGCTCTGTTTTGTGAAAAAAACAGACCTTACAGTTTGACTCTATGCAAAAGTGAGTTTTGCGGAAGCTGTAATAAAATTTGTTCAGCTGGTTGAGAGATGCAAGTGTGCAAGAAATTATAGAACTGGGGAGAGTCTCTGTAATTTCCATTATTATTGTAATTCATTAAAATGGTTTAAAAAGCCAGTGAATATTTCCTGAACATCCTTGTGCTCTGGAAAAGGCAGCTGTTCTGTGTTGCACTCCTCCTCTTCCTTCTCCTCCACTTGGCCTGTGTGCCCTAGCAATGGCAACAATTCTGCTCTGTCCTCCTCCTCTGCCACCTCGTTTGGTATGCAACCAGCAGTGGCAGCCTTTTTGCTTCTCTCTCTTCCTTCACCAAGGACATACAGCTGCTATTGCTCCCGCCACATGAACTGGCAGCCCTTCTGCTTTGGCTGCTTGCTGACTAGTAGAAATAACTAATTTTATGTTGGGCAGAGGCCAGTTGACACGCAAAAAACCCAAATGTGTCCTTTCTCCCACAAAATAAAACTGACTCCAAATGAACTAACTCTACAGTACTCTTACAAAATGCCACACTTTCATCCCCATAAAAACCAGCTGAGCTTTAAAGCTCTGCAAGTACGTATACTCCAGGTGAATGTTTACGACAGAGTTTAGACATTCCTTGGCAGATTGTGGGTGTGGGGGCAGGTCAGTGGTTAGAGACTGTTCTTTTGCCTGAACTGATTTGCCCAATCCCACCAGAAGCGTGGGCAATAAGCGAACACATTGTTCTCCTATTGCTGACCAATATGAAATGCAGTCTGAAAACAAAAGGAGTACTTATGGCACCTTAGAGACTAACAAATTTATTTGAGCATAAGCTTTCGTGAGCTACAGCTCGTAGTGTAGCTCATGAAAGCTTATGCTCAAATAAATTTGTTAGTCTCTAAGGTGCCACAAGTACTCCTTTTCTTTTTGCGAATACAGACTAACATGGCTGCTACTCTGAAACCAGTCTGAAAACAGTCTGTCAGTTTTCAGAGCACACCACACAGTGGCAGTCATTCCATGAGAACTAGTTTAAATCGCTTTTAATATTGCCAATTTTATTTCTTATCTTTCAGTTTCCACCCTCTCTTTCCTGGATCTAATGAATTAGACCAAATATCAAAAATCCATGATATTCTAGGCACCCCTGCTAAGAAAACTCTTAATAAGTTCAAACAGTAAGTATGTAGTACACTCCCATATTTATTAATCTAAATAAGTGAAATCTGCTATATAATCTATCAGTTTCCACAATCATTCTTTTATTGTGAACGCTTTAAATCTAAATATAGTCATTAATTAATATGTAAATACCTAAGTCTGTCTTAAGTGTAATTCCTAAATGCAATTTTCTGATCACACAAGATTTCAAGTTGAGGGGAGAGGGAACTTGAGCAGTTTTTTCTTACCCACATCAGGGATTTGTGTCCTGCAGCCTATACCAGCTGAACCATTGCTGCACAAACTTTGTGGTCAAGGGGACTTTCCTCCTCCACAAATGTAATGCTGCTTCATGCCAGTTGCCAGATAGGGGTTCTCTCCCTATCCAGAGGCAGTTCCTTTGTGATGTTCCCAGGCAGATGAGAGAGAATCAAAACTGTGTTCTAGGTCTCACCTGGCAGTTTACCTCTGCACCATCTAGCATGTCAGTGATAATTTTGTAAGGAAGGAAATTCTGACATTTGAGTGCTTCTTTAATTACTTCCCTTTTCAAAAATGTAGTAATTAATTACTGTCCCTAGTCAGATTAGGTTGACCTTTTAGGTATTTTTTTAGTAAGTTTAATATTTGGAGGCAGTTTACATGAATGTTAAGTGTTTGCTCTATTACTGGGTTTAACACAGGTCAAGAGCTATGAGTTTTGATTTCCCCTTTAAAAAAGGGACAGGACTATCTCCACTTGTGCCTAATATCTCCCCCAAGAGCCTCTCCCTTATGTATGCGATGATAGAATACGATCCTGATCAGAGAACTGGTGCCCACCAAGCACTACAGCATCCTTATTTCCGAGAGCTGAGGTAAGTTTTACACTTTCAATACAGGATTTTAAAGTTAGATCCCGAAATGCACAATGGACTGTGGAGAAAAGAACTTGGTCTTAAGTAAATCCTGAATTTATTAGGTTACAATCGCCTTGCAAATAAACATACCAGCAGTTTTCTTTATTTACTGCATTAAAACAACTGAGAAGTAAAATTCATATGGCAGTTTGTCTTTACTATCCTACTGGACTCCAAATTTCATCTGAAGGGGTGGTATTTGACTTTTTGTTCACTCTTTTCAGAATAGAAGAGAAGCAAGCTGTAACCATGCACAGAAAAATGAGATTAGCAGAAAACATAGTGGGACAAGAATCTATCAACTTGTGGTGTATTTCAAAGGATGGTAATAGGCAGGTAATATTTAAATCAAACTGGAGAACATGCAGCCTATTTAAATAAAGTCATTTGTAATGTCTAGTTTAGATACATAAACAAATATACATTAGATACATATAATCAGATAGGTCTAGTTTAGATACATAAACAAAAGTCACTTAATGGTGACTGCATGGTTTTATTCCTGAGGTAAACTAAGGCTCCAGTCCTATATAGGAATCTGCTGGCATAGACCTCCGCACCTGGGCAAAATGCTATTGAAAGGCAGGGGTCAGGGCCTAAAGGTTTGCCATAGTCCCTTAATTAGATAGTGGTATTGGTAGTAAGTCTTGCTGATAGCTTTGTGCCTTTTTGCCTTCTGTATGCATTATAAAGGACCAAGAATTTTTTTTAATTTCTATTCATGTACACTGGAAATTTTGGTCTTGTCTATCCTGTTTTTCCTGGAAGACTATAGATAACTGGAGAACTAAGGTAACATTAGATGCCAAGGATATGAAGCCTCGCTGAGAGAAGAGATTTATATGTAGACTGTTAAACTTTTATTTTGTTTATACTTATCTAAACTAACTCCAAAATGATTCCACTTCTCCGTCCCTTCATCCAAAGGCCACGTTCCTAATACGCATCTCTGGGTCCTCCAACTGAGACCTGCAGCAAAACAGGACTTGACCTTCCTAATTTAAGATAGATTTTTTTTGTTGTTGACAGAGACAAGATAGGTGAGTTAATACTTTTCATTGGACCAACTTTTGTTGGTGGAACACAGAAGCTTTCAAGCTTCTCAGAGCTCTCCCACAAGTCTCTGTAGTTGACATACACTCGGCCTTTTTTGGTTAAACACACATCATAAATTAGCAACAGAAAAAGTCACAAGCACAATTTTCTTCTATAGGTCATCTTTAAAGTATGAGTCCTTTTTCCCATTAGCGGCCATTTGTTCCACTAATTCAACTGTTGGGAATTGGTTGAAATAGGGTTTGTACACAGATGCTTGGGGAAAACCACAAAAAGAAAATGTGCAGGTCTTTATAAGTAATCATCATTAAGGGATGTATGTTTAAGAATTCAACTGAAATGGATCTTTGGTGGGTTGGTTTTGGGGGGGGATTAAAGTTCTGTTTTTTATTTTATCCTGTTTAAGAAAAATGTCACTGTCAGCAGATTGAAACTTGTAACTTTATTTTAAAAGCACTCTCTTAGGAAAACCCAAGAGAATCCAATAAGACATCATGAACCTTCCTATGCGATAGAATTGCCAAAACTGAATGTTTCTGGAGTAACCAAGTTGACTTCTTATCCTAATCATACATTTCATTCAGTTTTTACCACACCTGCAACAAATGGTGAAGTCCCTGTGTTACAACCTATTAAATATATTGGGACAAATCAAAAGGTAGCAAACTTTAACTTGCTTATTCAGTTATACACAGAAGATAAATATAAATGTATTACAGACTATATTTCAAACTTCTATCATTTTTTCAACAGTCTGAAAAACAGAAGGAACTTAAGTCTTCTGTGAAACAATACCACTTACCCACAATAGAAAGAAGAGGTGGAGGATATTGACCATCTTGTCAAATATTTGGAATGTAAGGAAAAGCATGAGTATGCAGCGAAACAGATTCACCCATGCTTTCTATATTATTGTCAAAGGTACACCAAAAGCAATAGTGCCTTATCTTTTGTTTCCCTGAAATGCTGCAGGAAAACACTACAAGACTATTAGCACTTTATTTCCGAACAGTATCAATATTTATCTAAGCACCATTTTGGCAGCTCAAAATGCACTTTATACTTGAACCCTTTTAAACAAATTAGCTTTTTAACATTTTTTTTTAAACAAAAATGGATAATTTAGGATGTTTTAGTTTGAGTGCTAGGAATGCCATTTTGTAATTAAGTTTTATATTATATACAAAATAGTTTATGATGATATTTAAAACTTGTTAAACTTGATCTGTTCATTTTGTACCTTTTTTAACAGATGAAAATGTTAGTTGCGTAGACAATGTTGGAAAATTACCTCCTGTATTAGGTTGATAATTTCAAAGCTCAAGTCTGTTAATATTTTATGGATTATGATATAATTTGAGAAACACCTGATTTTAGTAAAATTAAACAGTTTTAATTTCTTTTGACATTTGTATATGCAAAGGATAGCTGTACAGTTACATATCTGATTCATAAGCAAATCTATCTTTATCATTTGTGTCCTTTCTTTCTTAAACCATGCTTTTGTATTAATCAAATCGCTTTTGCGATTAGTTGGTTGAAATAGCGGTAAAGAAACAGCATATGGATTTAGACCATTTTTTCACATTTCACAAATTATAGGCACTCATTTAATAAGGTTCTCAGCTTTTGTGCTGTAGAAGCCAACAAAATTCAGAAATAACATTTTGGTCATTGTAGCAGAGAGATAAGGTAATGACTAAGAGGTCATTTAAGGTAATGACTAAGAGTTCAGTGTGTTTGATTTTTAAAACTTTCATAATATCCTAGTAAGAAGGCAAATTGTCAGTTTAGCATTAGCTCTGTTACAAAGTAGCTTTACAATTTTAGAACCAAATGGAGTTCAACTATGGAAGATATTATAGCTGTGTTGGGACTGGATTTTTCAAGTTCTGGCTATTCCTAAGTGGGAAGCTTTTCCTGATATATATATATATGTATGGAGGTACTTAAGATAATTTCTGTACAATGAGCTGTGCATTTAAAAAAGATTCTATCCTTTATGGTTGTAAAAGTTACTCTGTTCACATCTGGAAAGTTAATGGACATCTCTTCCTGTTTGAAAAACAGCTCCAGTGCCTCTGCTGCTCTTCAGAGCTTCTCTAGGCTGCAGCAGAGTGAAATCATTAAGAGCCCACTCAGTTTTACAGCTGCTAGTCAGAACTTAGTGGACAGCAGTTAAACTGAAGTCACTGCATGTTGGTGGTGCTGAGGCATTCATTGGAGTTGATGGGAGAACACCCCAGACTCAGTCTACACTAGAAAGTTTTGCCAGCATAGTTATGTCAGGTAGGAGAGTGGGTGGTGGGGAGAATCCCACCCCCTAATCAATATAGTTAAGCCACCCCCTTTCCTCTCCCTCCCCTTCCCCCGTAGACACATCTTATACTGACAAAAGCTATACTGGCAAAAGGACTCCTCATGTTGTTTGGGGCAGGCGGTTTAACTATACTGCCAAAAGAATCCCTTTTGCTGAGTAGGCACTGCATCTCCAGTAGGGGGCTTTGCAAGTATAGCTACACCATACGCTATAGCCTTTGTGGTGTAGAGTAGTCCCTGGAGAGATGTAGACTAGTGAAGACCTCTTTTCTCCATGTTGTATCAGACATCAACTAGCCAAAGTTCAATACAAACAATGGAGCCATTAGTCAAGATCCAGGAACAGCACCCCAGTAGAAATCCCAACAGCTCATGTGTCAGGGGCAGCAGGCTTCTCATCTAGGTGTTGCCTGTAGGCCTCACAGTGACGATGCAGTTTTAATGCCCTGATAATGCCCAGGAAATGCATGGACCTTACAGGCTTCATTTGTTAATGTATACATTGTTTTATGTGTACATATATGTAGGTAACTAATTCCTAGGTAAGTTGTGTTTGGTGGTAAGGAGTGTGCTAGTCACCCTAAATCTTTGTTACCTTATTGCTTATAGGAAGTAGAATGGCATTGTTAGTGCTAGATGGCTGGTCACTTTTTTATTAGAAAAAAACATAAGCCAAACTAAACCCAGCTTTTTCATAAAAGGACATTAAATGTGAAGATAAATTAAATCCAGTCAGACTCAGGGCTTGTCTGCAGCTATGTCGGTAGCACTTTAATGAAGATGCTACTATGCTGACAGGAGAGCTTCTCCTATCAGCATAGTTAATCCACCTCTGCAAGAGGCGGTAGCTATGTCAACAGGAGAAGCTCTCCCATCAACATAGCACTGTCTACGCCAGCAGTTAGCTCAGTAGAACTATGTCACTCGAGTGTGGATTTTTCACATCCCTGAGCAACATAGTTATACTGATGTAAGTTTGTAGGGTAGACCTGGCCTAAGAAAGTCAGTCTACATACAGCTAAAATAGTGCTGGAGTTTACTGTAACCTCCAGAATTTTTTTCACAAGTTGTTTGGTATTTGAAAGTTAGGCTGTTATAAAATCAACAAGTCTTGCTTTGTAAATAAGATGCTGAGACTAATTTTATTTTTCATTAAAATCTCAGCATGTCATTCTCTACTAACCATGTAGATGTGAGAATAGAAGTTAGTATGTTTTTATTTTTTTAAATGAATCACTGCTATGTCTTCTAAGATTGTGTGGCCTAGTGCATAGAGTACTGCACTAGGACTCAGGAGAGCTGGGTTCTGTTCCCAGCTGTACTGCTGGTCTAGTAGGTGATCTTGAACAACTCACTTTACCCTATTATGCATCAGTTTCCCTATCTCTAAAGTGGGGATACAGTACATACCTCCTTTGTAAAGCTCTTTGAGATCTACTGGTGAAAATGCTATGTAAGAGCTAGATATCATCATGGAAAGCCAGTTTTCAAAGTCTAATGTTCTGACACAGGTAAGTTCTCTCAAATTCATTGCATGGCAGGGTCTATGGCTAAGGGTACTGGTCATAGAACATGGAGTCCCACTGTTTGGCCCCCAGTTTAAATCTGACCTGATCACTACCCACATCATTATTTCATGGCTGTTCGCTGGCCTGTAAGATGTGTTTCTTACTCCAGTTCTTATTCAACAGGTGTCTCTGTCTTAAAGGTCAGAGCCTGGAGTAAATACTTTCGCAGCCCTGCAGAAATTTCCTGTAGCATAGGGCCAAGGCCCAGTAGTGGGAATCTGTGGGGTTGCTTGCAGTGCTGCCAACCACCCTACACCACTGGCTTGGATAGTGGACTTACAGCTCCTGGGGTATCATTCATCTTTCACAAACATGAAAACCTAATGAACTGGAAAACTGGGAAAAGAAGAAAGGGTTTGAAGTGATTTAGGATGATAATGATGTGTAAGTAGAAAATACCGGTAATTTAGGGAGTTTGAACAAGAATAGGTGAATGCTATATAGATGCGTACTTGTGCTATGTATTTACATGGCTACAACATTGGTATTGAGGAAATGGAAGCTAGAGACCCATATCTATGGTGCAACAGTAACCTACTTCCTTATCTCTAGAAATTTGGGACAGAGGTCCAGAAGATGGCTTTTGGGGGATGGAAGCGGTTACATTTGTATTTCTGAGCTCCCTTTTTCGGAAAGCTTGCCTCCTGGCAAATCTTCAATGTTGTGAGGGAGCAGGAGCAAAAAAAAGCACAAAATGATTTTTGTATTGCAAGATACTACACTGTAGGAGCTGGGTGACCTTCCTGTCAGGCATTCAAGTCAGATTGAAAGAATGCAGAAGTGGCAGAGGCACTTGTGTTCTCCATTAAAGATACAAGGCTTTAGGTATGTTTGAAGCAAGGAAATGAAGCATATCTAAAAACTAAAGTAGCAACAGGCCAACCCTACAGGAGTATTAATATTCTAAAAGTTGATGAGCTTATCTTGTTTGATGAATACAGTGGATAGTGTTGTTCTGTAGAGTGATGGATACAAATCCCCAGAACATTTGATCTGCTGCAAAATTTCACTACAGGCTGCTCATTAGAAGATCAAATTGAAAAATGAAGTTGATTACCATTTGACATGAACAGCACACTCTCTCCAGGTTCTAAAAGTCTTACATCTGTCCTACTTTTTCAAGCTCATGCTGTAGATTAGAGTTCACAGCAGCAGCAATCTACTAGTGTCAGCGGTAAAGTTAATTTAATCTGATTGTTTCCTAGAGCTTTCCTAAGCACTGTTTTTTCCTCAGGTTGATCCTAAATAATTCAAGTAAACCACCTACTTTCATGTAACACTCCAATTCCAAAAGAAAACATGGAATTTTACAGAAAATTATCTGTATGAGGTTTTACTATTATACCTCACAGCTAAGTATTATTACAAATGAGTAGTATGCCAAAAACCAAACTGCTTTCATGACTATCTCATAGTAGGGTTTTGTTACTTAAGTTGTGCATTTTGAAACAGACTAACTTGTTAGGACACCCTACAGCAGTGGCTTTCAACCTTTTTTCATGTGTGGACTCCTAAAAAATTTCAACTGGAAGTGCAGATCCCTTTGGGATTCTTAAACGTAGTCTGCAGACCCCCAGGGGTCCACAGACCACAGGATGAAAAACCACTGCCCTAAACATTATTCAAGGAAACTATCTGAAAAAGCCAAACTAGAGGCGGACGACTTCCAAGACGACTAACTTAAGAAAATCACTCTCTAAAGTATGTCACCTTGAAAACTTAATTTTATCACATCAGATTTTAGAAAGTGTTTCAAACTTGTACTGTCAGCTTACTAGTAGTTAACAATGAAAAACATCATTGCCTGTGACATCATTATTTCGGTGTTAAGTGGGCATGTAAGTGAAGAGGATATTCCCATATGATCCTTAACTCTATTGGACAGAGCAAATGAAATATACAACTCCTACCTGATGAACCACCAGAACAAGTAGGCCTGCTGAAAAATAGCTGCTTAAGTAACACACATCCCAAAGGGCTGGTTATGAAATAGATACAGTGCTTTACAAACATCAGAAGTTTCAGCTGAGGAAGCCAACCAATTAGCTACCTGAGTTATCTACAGCACTAATAAAACTCATACTACATTGATTTGTTAGTTAATCTTTAAACAGTTTTATTTAATTTCAGATGCATGGTAGTTGCCTTCATTAGTCTACCTGGAATTTTGTATTAACATACAGAGAGTTGTGCAAGACGTTAGTTTTACTTCTGACAATTTAATATGCAGCTCCTTTTTTAAAAAGGACCCACCTATATAAAAGTCTAACCTTGTTAATTTTGTTCAGATACAAAATTCTCATTTTCACCAATTTGTCAATGTGGCAGAGTGGCAATCACTAGCTTTAGCATGAATACTAGTTATCATAAGTGACATATTTCCAAGTGTGAAAATTTAAGTGTAGTCTCTTCAGATTTGAATATATGTAAAAAATGCAACTTTTTGATTTTGTGTATTGTCATATACTACAATATGCTTTTACCTCTTTTTAGACCCCCCCAGAACCAATAGAGCCAACAATGGGAGCTGGATTCTATTTCTAGAGCATCAACAGAACTATTTACTAAATTCCAATTAGAATCCATTATGTCACTGTAAACCTTGAAAGCACTGGGGATTGCATAAAGTTAATGAGGGCATACTTGGGCCTGCAGAACCTTTATGAAGGGTGCTAACATTTAGGGAAACCCAGCTTGAGTTTGTCAGGCTAGGAGTTAGAAAAATCTTCATTTGTAAAATAAGCAAATTGGGAATTAACTGAGAAACATGGAACCCTACAATGACATTTTATAGAGTAACCTTGCCAGGCCATAATATTAATTTCCTCTCACCCAGCATTCAGTTTGCTTTAGTGCAAAAAATGACTTGTGTTCAATATGGAACGATGCCTGTATTTTCTCCTGCTTAAAAATTTCAGGATTTTGTGTTTCCTAAAATTTTAGGAATGTCTTGTTCTGATCAGTACACTATATAAACATTTTTAAAATATTTCCATCACCTGACTTATGCAAAATACAAAATCTTCCAAACAATTAGGATAGTCACTGTTTTTATTGTGCAGTTTTAGGCCTTGCTTTGCTGTATTGCATACCAATTATCCACACTAGAGGCTGAACATATACACCCAGAAGATACATGATCTGACTTTAGAATTGCCAGTCTACCTACAGAATTCAAATATTGCTGGTCTGGCAAAACTTTGGGGGTGGTTGTTAAAAGGCAGGTGTTTTGTTTTTTTTTTTTGTATTTTAAGCTTGTCCAAAAGGGCATATTTCCTGGGATCATTCTGAATGAGGCATGCAGGACTGGGTTCCTTCTTTGGTAAGAGAGTGATGAGTGCTTTGTTGATTACCCATGCTCCAGTCTTTTCAAGTTAAGTATGCTCATAAGTGTTTTGCTGAATAAGGTCTTAAATAGGTAGATCTTTTCAAGTGACTGCACTTTCACTGAAGAATTCCTTTCATCATTCAAACTATATTCAATATTTCAGGTTTAAGACTAGTAGTCTCTGCATGCAAATGTAGAATATTCTGAATACCAGAGCACTTGGAATAGGGATATAGGACAAATTAAATAGTGACTGTATTTATGCTGTTTACTTTTTTGAATGTCAGTTTAAACCTACCGTCTATCCACTTTTATGATTTCTAGTCAATTTCACTTTCAGATTCTCAGGCAAGTAGCCCAAAGTTGCAATGTTTGGATGGAAAACCAATACATTTTCATACTCCCCATAGGATTTTTTAAATTAGATTTAAATAGTTCTGTTGGACATCTGTTTTTACAATTGCTTGATCCAACAATGTAGTATTTAAACTGTTTATTCCAGTTACTTTGCAGCAAAATGATGATCAAAATTTTGTTCAAGTATGAGTCTTACAGCTTGAAAACAGGACAGATTGACACCCTTATTTTAAGTGATTGTTGTGTTCACAGAACATGGTCACAAAAATATGTTTAGGGAAAGGATCATATTTTCAAGTCTACTTCTTACCTACAAGACTTGTGAAGGGTGCTGGAATAACAGAACTGAGAAATGAAGTCTGTTTAGCAAAAGAATTTGACTTGGGTGGCAGCCATGAAAGTTTCTAAACTTGGGGAAAGAGGAGTTTCTTCTAAACAAAGTACTTTTTGAGCCTTATTACAGAAATTGGACAGAAAGTTGGTTTCCATTCAGTGCTTTGTTTCTGTGCCAAGGGTGCCAATCAATGTTAGTCATGATAAAGACAGCTATCCACAGACCAGCACATTTTACATAGAGCAGTGAACAGCTGTTAGACGGTAACAACTTTGTCTTTTCTAATTTGGTTAGTGATCTGCATGCAACCCAGAAGGTGACTGGCTCAGAGCATTTGGTAATAGGATACTCTGTCTCCACTGTATGTTTAAAAATCAGTTTAAGAATTTAAAATATATTGCAACCAAGTGTCTCACTATTTCCATATTTACCTGAATCAAATTTGGAAACATTTAAATAAGGAAGGTAAAATTAGAATGTTAATTATTGTTAAATTGACAGTTTCAACCCAGTTTGTTTATATCCAAGGATTAAATAAACCTGAACTGCATAAATCACAGGCCTGATTATTCTTCCATTGAAGTGAACAGCAAAGTTTATCT